TGTTGTCAGAGGTGTAGTATGTTGGTGAATGTAGAGGTGAGTGCATCGGCTGATGCATCGGCGGTTGATACATTGGTGGTTGGTTCATTTGCTGATGAACTTGTGCTGGTCTTGGTACAAGATAGAATCTTGCGGCGAGGCGGCTCTGCTCTTCCTCTCGCTGGCGACTTGGTGAGTTCTTTAAGATGCCTTTGGGAGGTTTTGGCTGTGATGATAAAGTTGTGTTGTTGTAAGTAGTCTCTGTATCTGATGCCGCCGCCGCCGCTGCTGCTGCTGCTGATACTGGTGGTCTTGATCTCGACCGCTGCCTGGGAGGTGCTTCATGGTAAGTAGGAAATCCACCGGGCATCGAAGGCTCCCTCTCCCTCGGCCACCTGGGGGCTGAGTCGATGTTGCTGTTCATTGTTGTCGATGATGATGTTATTGTATGATTATGAAGTTCAGGTTAGTAGTTTGTCGTATTCCGGCTCGATTTGGCTGGCGTTGATGATGGTCTTCAGTGAAGATGGTGAAGTGCGATGGCTGTGGTCTGATAGTTCTGGGTGATACTGATATTGATATGAGTAGAAGGAGTAGTTACTAGCTCCTTTCATGATTCTTCTGGTTTTGTTCAAGTGTCAAGGGTAAGACAGTGTGAGGCGGGTGAGGGGGTGAAGTTGTTTTGTTGTTTGTGGTTGTCGCTGCTTTGCTGCTCAGCATGCTCAGTCAGATGCAAGAAGACGAAAGAGGCTGATGGACTACGTCAAGAGAGAGTCAAAAGGGAGGCCGGGACGCAACGAACAGAAATACACATGTACGAGGTACACATCGCGTGGGCGGGCCAGCCCAATGATACCTGTCGGCGAAGTGCTCGTTGGCGCGGCCATGCCTGAGTTTTGCCTGAGTTGGCAGTGATCCAGCAGGATCCAACGTGATCCAACACGGTCCAACACCGAAGCCTTTGACATCTTTGGACATGTTTGACGGCTTGCTGTGCCTGAGTCACTGTGAGGCACCCAATCAGCCAGTCAAACGTTGACGACTGGGTCGCTGAGTCCCGACCAGGCCGACCAGACACACGCCCGGATTGAGAACAGGGTCCTTTTTTTTGGCCCTCTCGTTCCTCTTCGCTCCTCTGTGCTCCCCCCTTCGCTTGTCTGCCTCTCGCTGGGCAATCAATTTGCGTCCGGAGTCAAGACATACAGACAGACAGAGACAGAGACAGGGTCCTCCCGTCCACGTTGGGCGTTGGGCATGAATGCGTCGGGCCCAGCCCCTCTCAGTTCTGCCCAGTTACAGCAGCCTTCAGCAGCTATTGGCCGCTGTAAGGCCCCGTAAGGCCCCGATTTGCCACCCGCTGCCAAATCACAGCAATCGCAGCGAAACGGCACGGCTTTGCAGGCCACTTTCTATTCTCACCACGGCACACCATAGGACACCATACTTCGTAGGGACACCATAGCACCGACGGGCTGACGGTTGGGCAATCGGATGACGTCGCGCCGTTGCATGCGCCTATGATTTTGTATGATGGCGTAGGATTGTGTGGGATTGTATTTGATTGCGCCTGTTGAGGCAGCATTGGATTGGGGCCAATTTAGGGGGGCTATTGGGGGGGGGCACTGGCAGTGTCTGACCGGGCACCGGGGCGGCGCTGGTGGTACCCCTACTTGCCCTACCTCTCACTGTCATGCCCCTGAACGGCCCCTAATAGACCCCTAACAGACCCCTAACAGACCCCTAACAGACCTAATAGGTGGTAAAGTCTGCCTGTACTGCGAAAAAGTGCAAAGGCGACAAATTTGCCTCAAAACCTGGCATGCAACCACCGAGAACCACCCAACGCCCGACTCTGGACACGCACTGCCTTGCCCTGCCTGTGATTTGTGTGATCTGTGTGATTTGTGTGTGATTTGTGCGATTCGAGCGATTCGACCCTACCCTGCCACCCATTTATTTAGCGACCTCGTTGTGTAGCGAGATTGCCCTCCCCTTACCTACCGTTGCTACCACACCACGGCCGGACAAGACGTCTGACCTCGCACAAACTGGATCGAGAGAGTTTCTGCCATCCAGCCATATTCACACGAAGGTGTGTCGCTTGCTGCCAAGAGGCGTGGCTATGCGGCGAATACCGTCTGCCTAGTATGTACTGTCTGCACTACCTGGGGACACAGAGACTGGGAACGTGACCTTCCAGACTACCACCATTGACCTCCCTACCTGCGTACAGAATGCACAAGCATCTTTGGCATTAACCACTGAATCGTGAAACTGGTCTACTGAGGGGCCCCGTGCTGCGAGAGATGCAGAAAGGCATAACAGTCAGTGAGTCTAGCCATTTACAGAGCCAATTCAACATCCTCGGACCCCACGGTGGCATGAAGCAACGGGCAAGTAGAATCCTTGCATCCTAGAGAAGTTGAGAGAGTCACTGTTCAAGACTCCCGCGCCATACAGTATACAGTCGTCAAAGGGGGCAATGAGAGTAAAAGCCTATGTAGAAACATATGATATTTTTACCGCAGGTGTCAGACTGCGCTGGCCCTTGCCAAGAAACATGTGAAAAAGCAGCGACATGTTTCTCACATCAGTCTATCTCGACACCTCTCCAGAACAGGGTCCGAGTAAGACATTGTCGGGACGGCCGTGACTGAGCTTACAGTAGTCTGCTGCACCAATTGGCGACGACCAGGGTTGATCCTAATAAGATACTTGGGGAAATGTTGGCCTCGGACGGGCCTTACCTGAAGCATATATATTCAATCACGTCGACGCGTGCAACTATTCGCCAGTCATTGGCCGTTCTAGTCGTGGATCTGGTCCAATAACGGCGTCTTTGAGGCGGCTGTCGTCTGGTTGTCCTCTTGCGCCAGTCTGCGCCAGCTTCTTTCTGCCTAGGCAATGACATACACTGCACACCAACCCGCTTCTTTAAACTGTTCCAGTCGTGCTTCGGCTCCACAGCCGCAGCAGTCGTGCATACACAGCGTATGTACGTACCCCTGGCGATGACAGTCGTGGACTCCTGAGAGTGTGTCGATGGAGTCGGGTGACCATCCAGACCCTCCTATATGCTTGAACGAGTCCGTGGTTGGGACTATGTTGACCTCTTTGCGTGAGAGTCGTAAGCATCGGGAGCCCTTTTAATTAGTCTTTAAATAATGTTGCGCATTACCTGCTTATGATGGAATTCTGCGTGAATGATGATCAAGTTTCCAGCCTTGGTCTTGTTTCTGCAGTATATCTTGGCTGCTTAATTCGATTACTTACTTACTCCTGTGGTTTGTTGAGCCCGTAATTACTTGTCTACGGAAAACAAGGCAACAACCACAAAAATCGATGATTTTTGATAGGCTCAACAAATCTGTGAAGACTGTGTTGTTATTTAGCCCTACATACACGAGAATGTTATGGTCGTAACCGCCTGTGCGGCACACAACCTTTTGCATCGCAAAATTTGCGTCGAATTTGAATTATCGTGAGATGCGCCACAGGCAATAACCAATGATGGCGTTATGACATTGTAGGAACTTGATTAGCTGGCAAGATGGATATCTTATACAAGTAGCATAATTTCCTCCTGGTCGAGTGGACGTTGTACGGCATAATCTTGGCCTACATACAGACTCATACATACAATAAGAATTATGTAAGTCAGATGCTTATATTCACATACTGTTTTGTATGGATAGAATAATTAATATCATCCAAATTATCTTGACTATGTCGTAGTTACAGTTCACTTTCTCACATATATCAGACCACACTCCTCGTGTTTCTACCACCAACATCATGGACTCACAGTTTGCTGTTACGACAACACATACCGATTTTGTTCTTCCGCGGATCCTGACTTGGACAAGTCTGTATACAATTCATCAGTACTGACCCGCACTCACTCGCTTAGTAGGCGAAATCATTCATCTTCGTGGTACTCCCTATCGGGAAAGAGTCCATTGGGCAAACACAGCAGATTATACTCGGCGTAACCTTGAGAGTCAACCCGTGGAATGAAATCGGTGCAGTCAACCGTATATCTCCACCTGCAAGGCCATATATGTTTCATCATATGCCTAGCTACTCGCATTTCTCGTGCCGCCTCCTCGGTAACTGTTGTTTCTATTCTTAGTTTTACACAGCCAACTCAGATATTTCCCACGCCCGGGAAAAGCTTGAAGCATTTTCTCACCTATGTTACATCCCGTTGAACTCAACTTTCTTGTGCCCTCTTGATTCTTGCCATCTGTCGAAGTTCTGACTTGGTTGTTTTACATATGTGCTGATGGACCCCGATGCTGCGCACTACGCATGCAGCTTCCCGAGGCTGTGCTTTGATCGCGTTTTGTGAGGCCACTTAGCAGCCTGGACTGAGCGTTCAAGTGCATTTCCGACACGCCTGCTGGAGCCGGGAAGAGTTTCGCCAGCTCATTGGGGTCAGTTCACTCCTAGTGTGAGTTGGATCTCACCGGGCACTCATCTACAATAATACTCTAAGTAATCATCAGGTCACTGGTCCTCGACATTCGCGTAGTAGTACGACTTTTTTCATTTCAGCAAATATCAGTTCTAAGATGGCTTCGTTGACTTGGATCTCACACAACTACTTTGCTACTGTACCTTCATCTTAAGACAACATGAAGGTGGCTGTCTGATATGTTTACAGCCAGTTGGTCGAAACTAAGATGTTTGTTGCCCACGTACGCCATTGTGTAAGGCAAATCAGGCCATTGAGTGAATATGGGAAGACAAACAATCAGAGTTCCGCAGTGTTTCTATGCTATTCTTTCCTTTAGCCGCTGTTACCACCGGAATGTTGAAGATGCAATTTACGGAAAGCTGCACATGGTGTTGTTCAAGTTATGTAATGATAAATCAAAATGAGGCAGTCAACACTTCTCTCTTTCCGTATTTTGAAATTGCCAAAGACAGCGCCATGATTGATGATATGTTTATTTTTCATTTCTCGAGCTGAGTGTGAGTGAGCTTGAATGATTCTACTCCAATGCTTCCCGTTCCTGTCATGCGCCTTGCTTGAATAATTGTGGGAACGTTTGCCTCAAATCATCCAAATGACTAATCTGATGCTGGGATGCTTGCTGTGCGGGAACGTGAGCCCCCTCTTCGACAAGATGTGCACTATTCCATCCCAGCTTCTCCGCCATGTTGCAGTTGTTGTAATTGTCATCTGGATGGTGGTGTTATTTTAGATGACCAGCCGTTGTAGTCGCATCAAGATCACTTACCAACGAAATAACAATCTTCCATGTTGTGCACGCCTGCTTCCATCATCGCTTTGGCGAACATTTCTTCTTGCGGCTTGCTCACAAATGGAAGTTTGGTGTAGTCACAGTAAGTGATACCATCAAACATCTTGTCCACACCCAATATCTTGACAACACGTTGACCATGGTTGACATATGCATTTGTGAACAGCCAAAGCTTAACTTTACTTCGGTCAACGTCTTGAAGCAGACGGACCAGGTCAATTCGTGATTGAATCATGTCTTCGAGGGGCAACGCATCGTCAACTTCTGAGTTGAAGTGAAGGGGATCAATGTTATGATGACGCATCAGGCCCCCGATAGCCAGGCCATATGTTGCGTAGTATTTTGCGTGAAGATCGATGGCCTCCTGAGGTGAGAGATTGAGGTGTTTCTCAAAATAGACATGAATCATATCAGCCATGCGCTCATGAACTCCGGCTTCTACACCACTATTAGTACAGATACTAACGTCCTCTCTGAGCTGGATTAACTCACTTGCCGGATAGAGACAGTTGTCAATATCACTGCAGATCTTGTTAATAATGGAGTTGGCATAAGAGATAGAATGAGACACAGACGCTTACAAGAAGAAGACCTTCTTAGGTGTAGGAGGAACCTCTTCAGGCGCCATAGCCGCTTTTGACCAGAATTGGAGGCCAAAAACTTGAAAAAACCAGCTCGACTTCTGAATATTCAGTCGACTATGCTGAAATAACGAAAACATAGAAGGAGCCATGTAGTCAATGGTGAAAAGGTAAGTGAGAAAAGAGTTGTAGGCAAGCTATTTATTTATTTTCGTGTCTACAAAGATGCTCGACACTCATACCATTTTGGCTATTCAGCTTCATGCTCGTTCTACAGCATGCCTCTTACCAACCATGAGTATGACGCCATTATAACTACCTATTGCCTCCGCGCACATGGGCCCAATGTTTGGTAGAGAGTCTCTGGTGAGAGCGGAGTGAAAGCACCTCACCCGGGAACAGCGCATCCGCGTACTTGACCGAATTGACATGCCGGAACAGTGTGGCTTTTTGATCCGACGGTTCACTGCCAATACCCTCGTCAATCCTTTATCTCGCCTGCATGAAATAAGAGGACAGAAGCAATAGTATATGCGGTGGCAGTTAATACTATCCGCAAATACCGCAGCTCAGCTCACATCTTGTGTGAATTTCTGCGTCTCCTTGCAGATCATGGACAGCTTCGAAAATGACACGTTCTGGCCGAGCGACGTGACGGGGATATTTCCTGCTTTAAATGCCCACGATTGGATCCGGCCCGTGCCGCACGATTTTGAGCAATGCAGCTAAGGATTTAAGGGATATTTTCGTAAGATCTACCAGATCTACTAGGCAAATATCGTGTTTTATATGTTAGGAGAGCAGCATCTTAGCTCAGCCACAGAATAATAGTATCCTGAGCCTCCCGTTTGCTATCCACGCTATGCTACAAGGTGGAAGCCAAGCTATGGCGTATCGATGGACTGCATTAGCTACTCTGTGGCTAATGAGGCTACCAAGACAAGAGTTGTCCAAGCATTTTTGAAAATTACGCCTCGTGCGGTAGTTTGATTGGTAGTAAAACCAAACAACCGAGATGCATGGTCCTTGGTGATCTGCGGCATCCTTGTAGAACCACAGCGGCTCACTGCTCACCGACTACATCGCACATACACCGGGTTACTAAGGTTTCACAGCCGATCCTTGAATATACGGAAAAGTTAAGTTGATCACAGTGAAACTCGGATAGATGAAGATGAACGGCAAAAGGACATTTACTAGAATACGATATATCTAATATACTAATTTATTTGACGGCAGAGACAGGATGTACTGGATAGATGTGGTATGAATAGCGTTGGATGAACGTTATGATGATCATTAATTTCGATTGCCCATTCTCTCGGTTTTTGCTAAGATTAAATCAGATAGCCGACACCGTACCAGACCAGAGAGGCCAGGGCAAGGGCTAGCTAGCAAGGTATACAGCAAAACATCAGATCATTGGTGAATGCATCGCGCTTCACGCACTCGATCCAGGTTCACATGCATACAACGGATACCGATCAGCCAGCCCAGTTACGTGATGTGCATAGCACGATGTGATCGGATCCCTGCTGGTATTTTGCTACTATGTACTTTCATCATAGTATCAGAGAGAGTGTACCATGAGGATATGGCCATGGGGCGAAATTCTCGATATCATATAAAACCCACAAGTTAATATTATGGACATAGGAAGACTTCTGCCATTATCCTCCCCTAGATTATACCAGCTTCGCGCCATCATTGGTTGAACCTCCTCGTGTTTAATGGCTGTGTTTTCTTCATTACTCGCCCTACACTCGGACCATGGGCTGGTCCCAGCACTCGTTGCTGCGGCTCTTGTGGCTAGCACCGCGCTGATTCGGTTCATCGTGTCTTATACGCGAGCTCGTCTCCAGTTCCCTGGGCCCCCAGTCAAGAATGTCTTTCTGGGCAATCTTGACCAGACTATGGGAAATGACGTACATGAAAAGGTAGTCTCCGCTGTATATCACGGCATTTTAGTTTTAGAGCCTAATTCTTTTTTAGTGGATTGACTGGAACCGAGAGTATGGTCAGATCTTTCAGACTGTGAGTACTGCCCCTTCGGTGCCTTTTCACCCGAACTTATGGTGACCTTTATAAAGTGGAATGGTCTATTCTCCCGCGTGATCTATATTGGAGACCCAGCAGTGGTTGCTGAAATTGCAACCTCCAACTGGCCCAAGTCTGCTCCTCAGTACGATGGCTTCAAACCCCTAGATGGCGACGCGTTGTTTGTGCAGACGAATCAAGAGAGATGGAAGATGCAAAGCAAGCGCCTTGCTCCAGCCTTCCAGCCAAGTGTTATCCAACAGCAATACCCCTGCCTCGCAAATCATATAAAAGTAAGTGCAAGCTCGTGGTCATCAGACTCTGTTCATTTGCTAACTGAGAAATATTAAAGAACTATGTCCGGCAACTTGACCGCGCTGCAAAAACCAAGAGCGTCATTGACCTCTCAGGACTCAACATTCTCCTCTCACTGGATTTCATTGGTGACATTGCATTTGGAACAAGCTTCAATGCGATCAACCAAGGCCAGGACTGCCGTATCGCACAACTACTAGAGATGATTCTCCCAGAATTGATGAAGTGTGGTTTGTTTCCTCTCCGCGGAAAGATTCCCATCTTCAAGGCTACCAGGATCATGAACAGAGCGATCACCGAGCTACGAGACATGGCGAAGGACGCCGTGAAAGACGCCCGTTCAAAAGAGGCTGCTGAGAGCGACAAGAAGCCCGAAAAGAAGATTTTTGAGATCTTGGCTTTGTAAGTACTCACATCTTAAAAATTGAGGACACATGGCTCATGAATTCTTTAGACAACGAGAAGCAGATGGCAACTACACGTTCAATTCACAAGAACTCTGTGATAACTATGGTACGTTGATATTGAAGTAAGCGTGATTGGCTTAATAGAGTAACACTGAGTTGACATTGTCTCATCGTGCAGTTGCATTCTTGGTAGCAGGAGGAGATCCTACCGCACATACCATGTCTTTCTTGGTTTGGCAAGTGGTAAGTTCCCAAAACTGAGACATAATGGAACTTACAAACGTCTGATCTGATGTGATTTACGCCACAGCTTCGCAACCCGACCATTTTCAAGCATCTGCGTGAAGAAATTGACGCCTCAATTCCCTTCGAGGCCGAAGTCGCAACCCTAGAGCACGTCAAGCTGCCGTACTTGAATATGGTGCTGAAGGAAACACTCCGATTCAGCTCTCCCGGCTTTGGGACTTTCCGTACTTGCGCCAAGGATACGACCGTGGCGGGCGTGACATTGCCGGCGAACACAACCCTTGCGCTATGGAATCCCGCAGGTAAGCACCTACCTACGCACTCCGTATTCGGGCATGCACATTTCCGTATTGGCATATCCCGCATACATCAGCTAACGCTTCGGGATGTGACTGTAGTACATCGTGACCCTAGGCTATGGGAAGACCCTGACAAGTTCGATCCCGAACGGTGGCGATCCGGACAGACGAAACCGCGGGGAACTTACTTCCCCTTCTCATACGGCCCAAGAAGCTGCACTGGTAAGTTCCGTCGCCGGTTATCGCTCCCCTCTCGGGAACAGAAAGACACTTATCTAACCGTGTATCGCACTGTCTAGGACAAGGTCTCGCCATGCTTGAAATGACACTGACGCTAGCCACCCTATTCCGTCACTTCGAGATAAGTCTCGAACCAGGTTTTGAGCTAGAATACCTCCCCAGTTTCACGCTGAAGCCCAAGAATGGATTTCCCATTCGTGTGACTCGCCGCACAAGCTAGAACATTGCTGTCAGGCGAGGACATTGTCTTGGAAATATGTGCACCATTTGGCGTCACACGCGGCGAGCTGAGGGCCGAAAAGCCACATATCTATCGAACGGCATTGGTGTAGCGTGGTACATGGTACTAGGTCTAGGTAGATATATAGGTATGACGGTCTTCGAAGGGGGGTGGGGTCAGTCGGAGAGCACAGAGAAAAAGCAAAATGCAACGGCAGGTTTGAAAAAAAAATTTACATCGAATGACAGGCTTACCCTCTTCGTGAGCCGAGGGAGGAGCCGATGTCGCACTCCGTGCTATGTGACACGGGGGAATCATGGGATATCTCGAACCACACGGCACGGGAGAGATCTGACGGGTCACTGAAGGATTCAAAAGGGGTAAACGCGGTATAGAATGAAAAATGGTCTGTTGATCTTCTCATGGAAAAGCCGTGATTATCAATATTAGCCAGATGCTTCCTCTCTCTTTCTCGTCGCCAAAGGCGGGAAAGCTACTTAGAGATCATTTAGCTACATGGGATAAAATAGAACCTTTTGTGAGTTGTGACAACGTTTATTCACGCTATACTAGTGCGGCTGCTGTGATGTGATACCTATTCCCAAATTCCCAACCGCCATATCCATGCTTTTATCGACCAGGGTCCTCTGCTATAAACCAGCGGTAGCTTACCGCTCGCATGGGACCCTTGGATGCGGGCAAATCCTAACGTAATCCCTCTAGATTGGCGAGAACTTGTGTGGGGTTGCGTTGTGCATCGTGAACACCACTCGTCCAATGGGAGAGCGTCGTATTCGGCTCCTATCCGTTAGGCCTAAACCCTTTCTTTCTTAGATCGGCTGATCTGGGAGCAGGGTTCAAGATTTTATCTGTATCGCAGCCAGGGTGGCCAACGCCACATTTGAGTGTTGCAATTCAGCTGGGAGGATACTTTTTTTTCATTTTTCTCAATAGTGAATCTCTCTTCCTTACTTCTGATATTTATATTGATTGATTGCTCACTTTTTTATTTCACGGCGAAATGCCAATGGCTCAGATCGAATCAGTTTGCGAAATTTTCTAGTGAGTGCAAGTGCATAGACACATGCCATGACACAGCTGATTTGATTGCGGCGATTCAGCTGCAACCCTAGATTTGGCGGTCAGGCTTCCGGCGGTTGTGGTATTACATGTAGGCGAATATCCGGTCTCTTTGGGGCAATACAAAACAAACTTGCTTATGTTCACTAGAGTGGATGGGAGACGATCGAAGAGGCTTCGTTGAATGTATGTATCGGTACTCTGTGTCATTGACGATTTAGGGATCGATCGTGGGGTTTGGTGGTCTTGGATTGCTGATAGATGGCAGATATTTCTACGTCAACATCCTTTTTCCAGAAGCACCGATGAGGTCGAGTGTGAGTTAGCCAGCAGGTCTAAGGATAATCTCAAATTGTAGACAATTTTTAGTTCATATGACTATGTACAAAGCCTAGCATCCCCTCCCATCCATCATCATCCATGCAGATACCATTTTCTCTTAACGCCATTAGATTAAACATTTTCCACAATAACGAATGCGTTTTCTTCAATGCCTGCGCTGATAATAATCAGAAGAAATCAAATAGTATGACATATCCATCAATCTTGTCCCTCCTCCTCACAACGTCTTTCGCACACGTCCCACGCACCTGTCCCAGTCGAGCAACTTGATGTAGAAACATTCGATAATGGCGATAATGACCATGCCGCTCGCGATACCCAGCCAAGCTCCATTAAGAGCAAACCCAGGGGGTCCCAGCTCCAGCCACAATGCAAGCGGCACAGCAGCGCAGTAGTTGACGGCGATGACAACACATGCGGCTACGGACTGTCGCCCAAGACCACGAAGGATTCCATTAGTCCAGCATATAAAGGCATCGATAATCTGGTACAAACTGACCACAACCATGGTGGAAGCGGCAAGTTCATAGACGACGCGAGTGTTGTTCTCTTCCAGGAAGAAGCTTAGGATAGAGTGTTGTAGGAAATATAGCGCGAAGCAGTTGATGCAGCCGACCACGGTAAATACAATACAGTACAGGGTGGCAGCACGTCGAGCAGTGCTCACAAGGCCAGCCCCAATCAAGTGGCCGACACGAGTGCTGATGCCCACGCTCATGGAAAAGGGAATATGCCATGTCACCATGGAGACAGTGACCAGAACCGACTGTGCTGCCAGGTGGTTGGTGCCCAGACGCGAAGTGCTGAATCCAACGATCTGGAAAGATCCCCATTCGGCCAGATTGACGGCAGAGCCGGCGAAGGATAGCTTGACAATTGGCTTCCAGTTAGTCCAGACGGTTCGTGAGAAGCCGCCCCAGCACTTATGGGACCACCGCCCAAACGGCGTCAAGCAGTAGAGAATAAGCAGGAGGGGACGGAGGGTGTTGGTCAATGCGATGCCCAGAGCAGCACCATTGAGTCCCATGCCAAGCTGGAAGGCGAAGAACCAGCTGGTGAAGGCATTGACTGGAGTGCAGATGAGGAGGATGACCATGGCAATCGAGAAATTCCCCTGGGCTTGTAGGAAACGCTTCAATGCCTCGAACGACGCATACCCAGGCATCCCCAGGATGCTAACCCGTAGAAAAGCACCCGTCTTAGCGATCACATGCTCTTGGTCCACGAAGAGCGACAGGATACTAGGCGATGCGGCCCAGATGGTAGCCAAGGGAATAGACACCACGGCCATCAGAACCAACATACGTTGAACATGCACACCAACCCCTGTCAAGTTGTTCGAGCCGTAAGCCTGAGAGCAGAGTGTGTCCAAGGCCGTAGCCATGCCCTCGAAAATTGCAAATCCGGCAATGGCCATTGTTGTCATTCCCATACTCGCCGCGGCCAGATCATCGGGGCCGAGATGACCAGCGACGAACGTGGTTATGATGGACCATGTGTACTGCAACAAGTATGTAGCTATCAGGGGAAGCGAGTATTGTGCCAGCAACCGGAGCTCTGCTACCCAGTCGTAGTGAGCATTCTGATCTTCCTTATGCAATTCCGAGGTAGGTTTCGATGACTCGGCGAGGAGCGGTGTATATTCTGTAGGAGGACAAATGTGTCCTTCCTCTCGTGCCTCACACGGCGGCTGAGGGGTGTGCATGATGTGACTAAGACGGGTGGGATTCGTATCGTCTTGCCGACTCACACGGAGAGAAGCGTAGAGGCTGTTATTGAATATCGATGAAGATATGCTCCGTGTGGTCAGCTTGCTCGGATGTTGGGGGGACTCGGGCAGTCTCCTGCTTGGTGATGATGAATAGTATTATAAGCCTGGATAAAGGACGGTTGATGAAAGGAGCGTGGGAATTAAATAATGCTCGAAACCAGACTGGCGTGAGCCGCTCTTTTACGTGCACTGCCGGCCAGTACGTACCTGGATCGGTCCATCTCGCCACGAACTACGTTACCTACTTAGCTTTGTCCGACTTTGCTGGTTTACATGTATAAGGGTCTCAGACACACTTTGCGTCAGCCCATGCATGCCAACGGTACTGTGTTGCTTCGACCATAGCGTCAACGCCTCCAGAAGCTACACAAATTTAACATGCGGATCCCCGTGTCCGGGCTCTGGCCAACCAGTATCACCATGAACGGAGTCTGGTTGTTGTGGATTTCTAATCGAGCGCTGCGGCTTCTTATGCCGTGATTGGGTGGCGGTAGCCGTATGTGGTCTGTGTCGATCCCTAATAGTTCGTGGTCTGTTCTCATATCTTGTCCTCCGTCACAATACAGTATATACACTCACTCAGCTGGGTGGTAGACTTGGTGCTGCCGACATTAGTCTGCCGTGCAGGGAGGCATCGTAGTCTGGCCCCTAGTCTCATGTCGTGAGTGGTGCTGGCAGGCTTATCCAAGGCGTCGGGCCTCGCAAGGAAGAATACCACGAGATCAGCTTTGCATGGACGAGGGCATGGACCGAGGCATTGTTCAAGCCCAACAATTGGTATGCAACACCTGCCGCAGAGTGGTGGCAATAAGCTACAGTGCGTCGTGACTGTATGGTCAGATAGTATAAACCAATCGTTGCTTGATTCCATGCCCAGTCTTACGCCTATTGCCTATGTATACCAATCTATCTGATAGTTCATCTGACAGTCCTCTAGTGGCATATCTTCATATAGTATCATATCATGTCAAAAGCACCGCTCTCTCTCCAGGAAACCCAAGTCTTCTCTTTGCTGCAAGCACTATGCCGTACAGACAGAATACCACATAAGCATCTTCTAAAACCTCTTGCATATCAACCGAAGTTAAGCTTCGCTATACGCTGATCTTATATCGAAGTGGGTGAGTCAGGAGAGGGAGGCTTGGCGCATTACCCAAATAGGCAGACACGGCGCCCTCTGCATCCAATTAGAGCAGGTTATCATGATCTATCATGTTCACCATTTCGTCGTGTTCACTTATTCAGCTACGGTCAGGCCGCCTATATCTCTGAGATGGTTCCATTACCGTGTTTGAGACATGGAGTTTATGACAGCTGCTCGAGAATGCCATGTGAATCAGTTAACGCGATCTTCCACTATCAGTTTTTCAGCCGGTCAAATTCTGCTCAACTCACCAGTTGGGAGAAAAGGGCTGATAATCGCTTAGCTATGCGCCAGTGTCGGCATCACAAACGCCTGGGGTGTATGAAAGATTCGATATACAGTGCGTTCAAGGATCATGTTCTGCGGGTTCGTGCATTAGCCTCTCGACTCAGTCGCCGAGCGGAACTCTGGTCTGCAGGGGTTTCAATTCGGGGTTAAATCTGGTGTAGTTGTTCCGGCCCTGTTTTCTCTAATTAAGAAGGCTTTATTGAATGAGATGAATGTTAAATAATAATCGATTAGGATGATAATGGCGAAGAACACATGTCAGTGAATAATTTAGAGACCAAGCGATTCTTGGAAACAAAATCTTGAGGACCCGACGAGGAAGTATCTACGATGTCTCGGTTGCTAGTCAGGAAAAGGCAACGTGAGGCTTTCGCTGACGCCTCGCACATACCGAGGCACTCGGAATCGGTTGTTGTGAACTTGTACCGCCTGAGCTATCATCCAAGCCCTCAGATCTGGGACTAGACTAGGTGAATTGAGGCGCCCGGGAGAATGACGACAGCTGCTTTTACCCCGCGATAGGCGTCAGGTGCCCTCGAACAGAAAAAGCAACATAGATCTAAGAACTGTAAACTCTTTGTGAAGGCGAGGTAGCCTATATTCTGACATACATGCCTTTCCAAGCTTGTGTACACTGAGGATCTGATCCGATTAGTGGCCATGATATACTTGGCCTGGACCCTAATGTTCCGACGATCTGCATTACTGTTAGTGATCGTTACTGTCCTTCGTTTATACTGTACTGAGCTGCAAGATCGTTAGGGTCTCAGTCCTTCCCTAGGCGTATCTGCAAGGCGTAGATACCATATGAGACCGACATCGTACTCGTCATACCTCGTCTCAGTTACCAGTGTGTATGTGTAGACAACCAAGATAAGATAGATAGTTCTAGCATTTGTTTCTCTAGATCGGGCGTTTCGTTTGGAGAGTACAGGTAGAACATTGGGTTGAGCTACTTGGGAGAACAGTTCGTGAACGTTGAAGACGGGGGACATGACACTGGCTGGCCTACTGCTTTCACAAGTAGTGCCCTGCACGGAGTGTATCAAGTCTAGCAGGAGCCGTCCCTCAAATCTGGCAAAGGGCCAATGCAGATGATCTACTCTAGGGTGTCTATAGAGAGACTTGGGCCACGGGAATGGTGGCTGAATGATTGGCATTTGATGTAGGCGGTAGAGTCGGTTCAACCGGAGTCTTGTGTAATTACCTAATCTAGCACACTTCAGCTACCCTCCCACCGTCATAGCTGCTGGGATTCTACAGTTCAAACGCCATATTCCGTCACGGATCTCTATTCAGGCGCAATTCGAAAAGCAAGGATATCATGGTGTAGTAAGCCGCGGTGCATCCTCACTATCAAGGAAAGGAAGTAAACCGGCTATCCATGAGCCATGAATCACTAGGTGATCGCATTATTACTGTTTACTCATAAACCCCTCATCTCAACGTATGCCTCTGGAACAGCAACGTGAATGGTAAGACAGTTAAGCGCCGGAGCCCACGCCATGACTAAGACCTAGATGCACTACACCTCCTCATGGTTGACGTGCCGGCCGCATAAGTGGCGCAGACAGTGACGGAGTAGCAGCGCCTGGTAGTTGAAAAACCTGGTACCGTCTTCAAAATACTTCATACCATCGTCAGTCCATGGGACTGGATAACTCGCGAAGTGTTGCACGTCTAAGAAGTTGGCAACAATGCTTCATATGAAGTTTATAAGACTTCCCATCTGGTATCGGTATAAGTTGTGCCACAGTTGAGAACAGGCGGTTCCGTGGTTCAACTGATGTCAAGACATACCGAATTGGGTTCATGAAGCGATTCATGCATTGCTAGAAGAACCAGATCCGAAGGACCCCCATCTAGACCGCACGATGTGTTGGCCGTAACATGCGATGTGATGCGATGCGATGTGAGTCTCCATGTTGTTCGAGACTGGTAACATCTCCTGCTGATCTGCATGACGCAGCTGTCGGGAGATTGCACCATGTTCTTCCACTAGCGAAGCTCGGAAAATTCTCTTCGAGGTGACCTGCTTTGCATCTCGTTCCGGGCTTTCGCGAGGCTACACGGCAGATCACTGCTTACCACCCTTTTTACTTTCCAAAATACCTGTCTTACGGGGAGAAATGGCAGCCAACATCAATATTAGTTTTACATACAGGAGAGTAGTTTAAGCTTGATCTAAATCATGTCAAGTACGCGTTAAGTATTAATACATTAAACATCAAGGTTTGGCTCACTTGGTTTCTATCTTTTGGCATTCGAATGGACTACATTATGTGGGGGCATTCTCAACGCGACAGACAAAGACGTAATGTTCGTCAAACTGAACGAGCCTGGACACATTAATCATGTTCCCGAACCTGCTAGTGGTAGTTTGTCCAAGTCGCGAATAAACCGCCAGATGCAGGTTTTACACTTACAAATCGCGCCCCTCAGATTCTAGCTAGTCCTTAGAAAGTTTACTTCAAACCCATGGGGAGCGTCATCAGCAGCTTTTCTTCCTGTTTTTCATCCGAAACCAAGAAGAAGTCCAACCAGGCACGAGAAATTACCACCTTTACCTTGAAATCCCAATGGCGATATGACGCAGGGCCATCATCCACCCTCGGAAGCTTTTCCACTGGCTTGGGTGTTCGAGCGTGGATCAGGCCAAGACATCGGATATTGCCTTGCTTCCTTGAAGGAGGATTTGGGTCATCGCAGGCTAATACTTGGATGATAGATGTCCCCCATCCCTGCGTCTGCATATTCCAAGAATGCCATCGGTTGAATATGAGAGTTTTCTTCTGAGAAATGTCTTCTCCCTGTAAGCCAGTCAGTTAATCACCGCTAAGCACAAACCCGCGAATTTTCAAATATACTTGTCTGATGAACCACTTAATTTGTTTTTGTGCATGCCATTCTCTATTTGCTTCATTCCAAACTCGATCTTTCATATCGTGAACCTTCGCGTCGAAAACTTCATCGGATGTCCAGCCATAGCTACAGCGTGCAGTCTCGGACTGCAAAATATCTATATCTTGACGGGCCCAATTTAATTGAGTCACGCGAGACAAAGTGGCACCACGGCAGGCTGCGGTCCAGCTTGACGTAAGAGTCAATATACGGTCATTCCTAGTACAACAGTAGTGATGGGAACTTACGGTTTATCTCCACGGGCTTGCAAGATAGAAGTTTGGCTGTGAAGGATTCCCCTTAGGTATTGTAGGAGGTATGCAGATCTCCCAAAACCGCCTACAAGTATCACGAGCTAGTATACTCTATTTAGTCCAAACACATAGAGATTGCTGAATGAAGAGAGATATCTTAACGTACTTTAGGCGGTTGTGAGGTTTGTCGCTTAATACTCAGGATTTGTTTATGGAGCAATTTAGCTATCTGAGAAACAATGTGATCAAAAGTCGGCTGAAGGTCAATCCTTGTATAACAATTTGTGAGTTTCTGTCGTCGAAAATCTTGTATGTAAAAAGATAGGCTTACGACTGAAGGTGAATGGCTTCGGAGTTTGCACGACTTGGCAATTCAACTACATAGGTTTCATCCGACTTGCTGAATGTTCCTTTAATTTCGTGTTCCCACTATAAACTCTGATCAGTCGACAGCTCAAAGAAAAGGGGTCAATACATGACATCTCCTGGGGGCTGATGGGAGGCATCGTCATGTCCATGCTGTTTTGGCGTACTTCGTTGTTCATCAATTTACGAATATCAGATGCATTCATTTTATTCCAAGATTCTTCCCCAGTTGCATGCTTCAAGAGTGCTTCAAACTCCTGGTCAAGAGAAGTGGCGCCGCACGGAGCACCTTTCATGATATTTGTTAGCGACTAATTTTAGTTTTTGCGAATAGAAGACTTGCCGTCAAAAGGAAAAAGATGACTTATCGAGAAGGGTTCTAGCTTGGTGACCTTGTAGCTGGCAACGCCTCTAGTGGGCATGATAGAAATCAGTGTATGGCGAGACGCTTAAACACAGTATATACTTACGCAATTATGCCGCCAGCATTGAGGACAACAAATGAATCACCAACTTGCAAATCACCCCGGTGTTCGGAATTAGGCATGTACGCAAGGGCTGCAGCCCTACTTTGGGGAATGAGAGTAAGCGTGGTCTCGCCGGTAGCTAAGACGCAGGAAGTCAATTGCTGTCTAAACCAAGAAAAGAATTGTACGCGTATCATGTTAGAGGGAAGCAAAACTACCCCCGACGGAGCTCTTACTGCGATGATTGAGTATCCCTGCATGTTCCGCCGCTTCACGTATGCGATTGATATCACCAGGCCGGCCTGGTGGAACGACTAGAACAACTTCGAATGTCATTCTATCTACATGGGTGCTTCCCACTTCATTGCGTATCTGTTCCAAGCTGTGATCCCACAACATCTTTAAATAATCGCCTATAACCTGGATACCGGTTTTCTCGAGCTTATATAATAGTTTCTTGGCCTTCTGAATGTGTATCGACTGCTGGAAGAAGCTTGGCAGACATTCATCGTCGAATAACACTAGGCCAAGGCATTCGATAGCTTCAGCGTCGGCAGGAATTTTGAAGCCCCACGAAATTTCACCGTGCTTGCCATAATGAATCTTGGTTGGCACCTTCGGGCAATCTGAATTCTTCCGGCGATTGTCGGGGGAGGTGGGCCATAAAGAAACGATTTCGGGTTGGATACTGGAGATTCCGGAACCAGGCTGGCAAACCAGCCAGGACACACCAGAGAATCTAGAGTAAGAATGGTCAGCAGAATTTCTGAGAATTTGGGTTATTTCGTGATTACGTAGTCCCTAAGTCAATGCCGATTACTAATCTGGGTGTCACACTAGGCGGATCCTCCCTCTTTCTCTTCATGCCAGTAGCCATTGTCGTCAAATTATTCGGTTGTCAATCGAGATGAAGAGATGGGGTTGAAAATATCAAGATGGAGACGAACTGACCTCAGTACGTAGGCAGGTACATATAAGGTATGAAAGGGAAGGTATCGGGTAGCTACTGCAATGCTGTCGAGGCAGGTGGTATGGTGATAGCAAACAAATACAAAAACAGCAAGAACGAGTTACTTTAGTACAAACGAAAATCCACCGCATATACTTAGAAAGCGAGGAGCTAGATGTATATATATATGGGCTGTACATACCGGAATTTGTGACTGGTCACCATAACGAAGAAAGAAAAAGATAGAATGTGTTAGAAATATGCACCATCTCACCATCTAAATCATCTATCTGTGCCCTCCTTGTCTGACTGATATATGATCCCAGATCATGTCTACCTCAACCATATCGCTATGCTCTTAGGTGCCTAAAACATATCCTTTCCCAGCATCTGAGTACATCTATAGATACCCAGGCAGCTTTACTAAACCCGAACCCTTATACAATCGAACGTCGTGAATTTTCAACTTTAGGTTACCACATCGTGGTGTAGGCACAAGACCATCACAATGTCCTCCCTACCTAGTTGAAGTCTTTGTTGCTTGAGATGTGATGCGATTCTCCTAGAAGACCTTCCCACTTCGAAGTGACTCGCACACCATCCCTAAACCCTTACACTCTCTAGCACACCGCGTTCTAGTGTCAAGCCAGGGTTGCCAAAGCCACAGGTTTACCACGCTCACTTCTCACACGTTCAACAATCACTCCCAAGCCACGGCATCGTTGGCAGGGCTGTATATGGATTGCAGCACACAGCGAATCTAGGGGTAGTAGAGCCTCGTCGACCCACATCCGAAGTGCATGCAGGACATTATGAAAGAATAAGTACGAATAAAATCAGGGTATACATTTTTTATTTCAAGAGTCCACGCAGATTCCTTGTTGTAGATAGTTAATTATGTCAACGTTCAGAAATCCGCTTTGTCGTATGTGCTGAATATATGTCAACACTCGCTTACCTGTGAGATGTTGACGGACCTTTGAGGTTAAAGACTTGTCAAATTGTATGTAGAGTCAAGGTTAGCCCAAGGCTAGGAAGAGCCGAATGGACGGCATCCATAAGAGAGATTATTTCATTGTGAATACCTATAGTCAATTCTAAACTCTGTTATCAGGCATTTTCATACATCTAGAAGCACTTCTCAATCACCAGAGCTGTCTCAACATATGGGCATTCAATAGCTCTCTTACTCTTCTCACTATAGTAACATGATTATGCAAATTACTTTCTAGACTTATGCTATCTAGTTTGGCTTCCGGGGCACCAAGTATAGCAAATTTGCCCTGACTTACAAATCAGCCGTAATATCAATCAATGACACCTACCGTTTTCGACTCTCTCTGACGTTTTCTTGGCATGGTGCTGAGATTAGCCTGTAGTCTGTGTATGCTCCGGCCGCGATTGACCCAGACCGTGCCATTGGCTACCAACTGAATATAAGCTCGATTTGACATTGGAGGCCTTTATGACGGCCAGAATTTTGCATCGCTTCACATAACCAATAGCACGTTGTAGTATACTCGTAAAAGACTTGGAATCTCCTTCGCCGAGGCTCTAGTATAAATGAAGCGTACCATCCTCAGACTCGTTAGAGTTATTTTGGGAAGGGATAAAATGAAGCGGCTATTCTTGCTGCTCTTTGGAGAGAAAAAGACCGCGGTCCGGACCCTGGACCCTGATATCTGTCAATATACGTAGTGATAAGGCAAGAGGATGCCAAGGGGGTGTAGAAGACAGTGTATGATTTATTCTGCTTTATAGCGATGGATTTAATGATTTGGGATCCGCGCTTCAGTTACTCTGAACAGAATGTTGTTCCGTCTAAGCCATAAACCTATAGAGTTCAGTTTGTCCGTATTATCTGTATTGCCATGAAGGTCATTCTGGTCGCCAGTGTACTGGCGTGGGTAGGCGCTACAGTCGCAGCACCCGGCTATACCAGGCGCCGGCGAGCCGATGAATTGAGTCTACGTCGCACCAGTCTCCCTCAATTTCTTGACAGCGAACGCAGCTCGCTGCTAGTCGATAATAGCACTCATGCCGAGTATACCACGAATTGGGCTGGCGCTGTCATGATCGGTTCGATGCTGCATAATATCCAATTAAGTCTGGTAGAATTGGACTAATCCATCTGCCAGGGAGCGGATACACGACTGTATCTGGCACGATCGTGGTCCCAAAGCCTTCAATTCCACTAGGGGGTAGTAGCACAAGGACATACTCTGCGTCTGCGGTATGCCATTCATGCGTTTCCATCGTCCTAGTCCAGCCCCTTGTAGAAAAGACATATTCCTGATAGAATGAATTGGGATACCATGGGAGCATGTTGCACTCTTTGAACCCGCTCCCGATCTGGCCGAGTAATCGCTGACTTCAGTATTACTACTATAGTGGGTTGGCATTGATGGCAGTACATGCCAGACTGCTATCTTGCAGACGGGCGTTGACTTCAGCACGAAGGGCAAGACGGTTACATATGAGGGCTGGTATGAGTGGTATCCTGATTATGTAAGTCACCTTGACGATCACGTTGCGCACCGGACGTATGCGACGTTTTCCCATGCGTACACGTGCCGAAGATGTACAAGACAGCGGTGTGGTGAAACGCTGTTGCGCACATCTAGTGCGCATGGAGTAATGCTCGGACTGACTGGTTTCTCCACAGTCATATAAGTTTCCCAACTTCAAGATATCGGGTGGTGATACCGTCACGATGACAGCAACCGTGACGAGCAAGAACGGCGGCAGCGTGACCCTCGAGAACAAGACAACAGGGCAATCGGTAACGCATGTCTTCACTAACCAGCTTGGGAATCTCTGCCAGACCAATGCCGAATGGATTGTCGAGGATTTCTCCCAGGGAAACGTCCTCGTCCCGTTCGCCGACTTTGGCACCGTCGTCTTTACGAACGCGAGCGCCAATGGCGTTACACAGCTCGACAAGGCTCTAATTTACGACATAAAGCAGGGTAACAAGGTGTATACCAGCTGCTCGACGTCGAGTTCAAGCTCTGTTACGTGTTCGTACGTTGGATAGGTGTTAGTTATCTTGGATACCTAAGCTAGGCAGGCGAAAGGTGAATACGGCATCAACGAGCACATATTGGATAGCGTGGATAAGAACAATGTACAAATGCCTTGATGCTACCATATGCCTCATCCAGTGATAGGTAGTTCTGTTTCTGTACGCTCCTGGGATTCGCGACTGGATGAGTTTGGGTTGAAGAGTACGGTACATATGTAGGTACCTAGTGAACAGGCTCGACGCGTCGAGGAATAATCATCGTAGATACTTCAGGCGACTAGTGATCTCCGCTGGGACTTGAGGTACCTTTTATCAAGGAGTCTGGAGGTATATGTACATATGTAGGTACCCGTAGTGGGACGCAACGGGCATCATAGCACCCGACCAACCCCCGCAAACCTCAAAGCTCCGCCACCCACCTCAGCTCAGCCCAAAATCGCACACCTCACCACCACCAACCACCAACCACCAAAGCCGAAGTCGCACGCTGAAGAACCGGGATATAGGATCTGGAGCAGTCCGCCAGTCTGCCGTCCATCGCATTGGGAGACGTGTTGGTCCTTGACTGGACTCGCCGAAGCGTGTTGCTCGCTAGTTCCCCGGTCCTGTTATCGCCAGGCCTGTCACGTTGCTGCCAGCCCATGCATGACCTGGCCTGGCAAACCCAGCTCCATCAGGTCCGTCACGGCCACCTACTGGCTCTCGGAAGCCCAACGCAACGTCGTTTCTTAGCGGTGCCACCGTGGCTTGGCTAGTTATTTACCGCTTCTGTCACTGCATCTCCAAAAGGACGTGAATTGGCCATTCTCGATATTTTTCTAGTTTTTCTCTTGTGATCCTTGGTGCTTCATTCCGTTTGACTTTCTCATGAGCAAGGGAAGAGGAGGACGAGAGGAAAAAGCGGCAGCAAGGAGACCATCCTGATTAGAAGAAAAAAGAGTGCAGTGGGGACACCCGGAACCGGCATCTCTCTCACAGCGCTCCATCAAGCGCCGTCGGAATAATGTGCATTGCGCTTCTGTCCACGGCGCACCCCAGATACGCCCTCATCGCCCTTGACAACCGAGACGAGTACATTCTCAGACCCACCAGTCGGCCGCATTGGTGGACCCATAAGGCTTCGGGCACCCGGATCCTGTCACCTCGGGACTTGCACCGCCGTGAACGTGGCACCTGGATGGGCATCACGAGCACCGGTCGTCTTGCCATTCTCACCAATTACCGGGAGTCCAGCGAGGATGATCCAGATCACGCTATTGCCGGCGTGCGCAGCCGTGGCGCTTTGCCGACAGCATGGCTAAGTGCCCCAGCTGACGAGACACTTGACCACTTTGTGAAGAGAATGGTCGACGACCCCGCGACCAAGGCTTCAGGAGGCTTTTCGCTCATTTGCGGCGACCTCAAGAATAAGACAGATGACGCCATCGAGCCATTGGCTGTTATCTCAAACCGATGTGATGAGCTAGCCAGCGTACCTCGAATCGCTGGTGAAAGAGGGGCAACGTACGGGCTGAGTAATACTATCTACGTTGAGCCTCCAACCTGGCCCAAAGTCAAGAGGGGCAAACAGCTACTAGAAGCCACGATACAAGAGGCTATTGAAACTGATTTAGACGAAGAGGCTCTAATGGACCGATTCTTCACGCTTCTTGAAGACAACACCATACCTCTGCGGCCGGACATGTCAATGCAGGACCACATGGACGTTCTTCGACAATCCATCTTTATTCCCGCATTTAGCGACACTGAGGGGTGGAAGTATATGGCCGACGCGGTACAGAATGGTAAAGCAAAGGCGGCATTCGATGCCATCGAGGGCGAGAGCGATTCCGACACGCAATTGCCAGCTGATCCTCATGTCAATTTCATGAATGGCGCGTACGGAACGCAAAGACAGACGATAATTCTTATCGACTGGGAAGGAAATGTCACTTACAAGGAACGAGCATTATGGGATTCTCACGGAAATCGGCTGGAAAAAGGCCAAGGTGATGTTATTTTTAAGTACAAGATAGGGGAACCTTCGCCAGGAGAATAGTTTAATAGCGCACCTCATGAAACAATTCATTATAAGGATTTGCAAATGGCCCCAATATTCGAATAGATGTGAATGATGTATTGTGTTTTGGGAAGCTAGACTACCATAGCTGGCTTCCCGCCGCGAGGAATCATGCAAGTAGTTGCGACCGCGGCTTCGAAGCCAGATGCCGACATTCAGACCATTATGGAAGTTTCAAGGCAAAGCAAAGCCGTATCGAGCTCTTCCCTGGTAGTCGGCACCAGATTTTCTCGTCGAACTTGCCCTCATGTAATTACTGCACCTAAGTGCATGTACCAATAAGGCTGTCTGCTCAACATCTTGAAGGTCGTTCATTTCCACGCACACCTACACCAGCAGTACCTACATACTCAACAGATCAATCTAAAGCTGCGTAAGCCGTCTCAGGTATCTAATACAATGCAGCAAAGTTCATGGAAACTACCACTACCCCCCCGGAATCCCATGAATACCTTCGACAGGCCCAGATACTGGTGGGCCACCTTGCCTTATTAGTATGGCCCCTGGGTGCACATTGCAGGCTTCAAATACAGCCTTTACGGTCTAGGTATGAAGGTCGAGAATCTACAGTAATCCAATGCAACGCCCACAGAAGTCTAATTCGTTCCAAAACAGCATGTCTCAGCAGCAGGCATTAGCAATGCCGCTTCTACGGCGGCTTGCTTTGGCCCCACTGTCGCGATCTGGTCGAGGGGAGAGACGATGTATTAGCCACGGGAGGATTCGGAGGGTACTATAGTTGGCTCATTTCTTTCATCCTAAGCCGTTGGAGATGGAAAATGCAAGGTACGTACGTACGCAGCATTCTGATCGCTTGCTGATCGCTCGAATTCCCCTCAGAACATTCGGGGATTCTTCGCGAGCTTCGGTCTCGTCGGTTATTTCCTTACGCTGATATCGATGAAGTGGAACGGCTGCCAATGGGAGAAACAAAACCTGACGATCTCGATGCTGAAATACTGCGATAATGCCAAAGTACATGAGCGTTGAACTTTTGCATTTCATCACTCGACGGTTCCCATGACTATCTGGCTTATTCCTAGATGGGTTAACACTGTTGAGAGCGATGATGAGCGTGCTGCTAGGCATCGCGTTTGCTCGCAAAGTGAGCAAGAAAGTCTACGCAGCGGCTTAGCTCGCGAGACTACTCATTGTTATCAAATTTCTGTGATATTGGGTGATTGCGATGGGAAGGACAAATTGATATTATGAACTAAATTCAGCGGGAAACTCTAAGACGTCATCGATGGGCATTACTGGCTATCGCCCAAGAGATGTCGACTCTTTCGGAGACTTGTTCTTGAGATAGCGTATAGGAATCGCAGTAACTATTAGCGATCTAAGAATTCACCAAGGCCTCAGGCTACACGTAAACTGTGTGAACAGCTGGGCTGATATTATTTCTATGCACCTAAACCTACGCCTGGCGCCGGCCATACCGTCTGCCGCATCCCTAGAGGTGCTCCAAGTACACACCCAGATAATTAAACATGGCCGTAGAATCTCCAATTAGCTTTGAAATCTTCATGTAATTCCTTTTCCAACAGCAGCGCTCGCAGCATCTCAACCGGCATGACATTCGCCTTGAGCACGCGATCATGGAACTCCTTCTCTGCAAACCGCCGCGCACCAAGCGCCTCACGCCTTAATTGCATCATCTGCAGCGCACCGAGCATATACCCGGCCTGGTACAACGGAGGATAGCTCCCGTTCAAGCTCCGCCTCACCTCGCCCTCGGCAGTAGACCGCTCGTGCCCAACGCGCTGCACAAGCAGCTCGACGCATTCCGCGGCGCTGATCCGGCCGAGGTGGAAGCCCAGGGAGAAGATGATGCGAATGCATCGATGCATGCGCCAGAATAACGTCCCGATCCTGTCCTCGGGCGAGGTGAAGAAGTCCCCGCGGTCCCAGAACACCATCTCCCAGTATAACGCCCAGCCCTCGACGAAGAACGGCGTGCTGAATAATTTCGCGCGGTAAGGCCGCGACCGATCTCCGATGTACATCTGCAGCCGATGGCCAGGTATCATCTCGTGGAACGCCGTGGCCTTGCTGAAGTGCCTGTTGTTCCCGCGCAGCGTCATCAACTTGTCGCCGTGCGCCATGTCGGCGCGCGGATACGCGATCTGCAAACGGTGTCCGCCGAGGAAGAACGGCGATACGCGCTGTCGGACCGGCGGGATCCGCGTGATTGTGATAGTCTCCTCCGCGAGCCGCGGGACGGTTACTAGGTCGTGTTTCTTCACGTACGACGCGCCTTCCGCCACCAGACCGCGCACGAACGCAGTATGCGTCGCAGGCGGTTCGTAGAGATTCTTCACGTACTCTAGGCCCGTCGCGCCAATTCGCGTAGCCGAGCTGCGACGTCGCTGCTTTCATCTCCTTCTCGCACCAGACGTACTCGCGCTCCGCGATTTTCAGGAGCTCCTCGGGGGAATACGGGATCATCTCTGCTTCGAGTTCTACGAGCAATCCGTCGCGACCGATAGGTTCGCCGACGATCGTGTCTTCGCCGCCATTGCTGCCGATAATGACGTCGCGGACTTGCTTTTCGAGCTTCTTCAGCGCGGCGTCGAGCGCGGCGCGCGGCGAGGCGACCCAGTAATCGAAGGACGGGTGATAGCCTGAGTAGAAGTCACACGTCTCGTCTATGTGCTTTCGCAGCTCGCATATCCGGCGCGCAGCCCTACTGCCTGTGGCTTGTGAATAATGTTTTCTATGCTCCTCTACATGGGCAATTGAGCGCGATACAGCATCAGTTGCCTGCGATAGGCTGTCAGCCAGCGTCTGGGGTTCGAAGACCTCCTCAAGCCGCTGGCGCTGTCTTATCGCGCACCATTTCCAGATCGGTTCCGCAAAGGGCTCTACGAACGGTGCGAATGCCGCTTCTCGCTCGCGATCGAGTTTCAGATTGCGCTGCGAGCGGTACAAGAAGTTCTTCAGAAGGATATAGTCGACCTTCTCGTCTTGAGAGTATGAGGAGAAGGCCGCCTCGGACAATGCCGCGAGCTCGGTCCCGAAGAACTCGGATAGTCTCGCATAGCGCGTTGGCGAGCCCTCGATGTTATAGAACTTTGTTATCTCGTGTAGATCCTCAGAGATACGGACTATCCGGTCCTGCATTGGCTCAGGTGCTTCTGGCCAGGCGGGCTTTTTCAATTCTCCGAGTAGGGGCGAAACAGTATTAGAGCAGGGTCTCATAGATATCTTTGTCCAACCTTCATGCTCTTCTAAGCGGATTTTCGATCGCCCGCTCCCAGTCTCACCCCCCTGTCCTGGCATCTTGAGATACCTAGTTTGGAGTTGAAGCGATGACATGCAACTCAATCGGCTTGGGTGCACATTTGCATTCCAGCTTACATCTCCTTCTGTTAAACACGCATCAAGCACTTCACGAGAACAATGTAATGAGAAACGGATAGACTGCTATGCTCTCCCCTCCAGCAGCCTTGATCCTCGAACCCCAGCTCGAAAGCGGGAAAAGAGCGGGGTCCTTATCGGTCTCCAACTTCCCGCATCCCATCGTGCCATTGTGTCCCGGGATGGATTTCCTAATCCTGCCCTAGAATTTGACGGCAACGGCCAAGTGAGAGGTCCGTCCGTTGTATGTACCTATAGTTTCGCTCAGCGCTGCCGTCTTGACAGCTTTGCTCTCCCTACAATGCCAATCAACGTTGGTCTTGCCTTGTCGGATGTACCCGAGTGCCGTCTGATAGCCTATCCATCCTGCCGGAACAATTACCCGAGCGACGTCATTGCTATGAGGCTGTCGTCAAGTAGGTAGGTAACATTATACTTGAATTTCCCGATGCCAAAATGGATGAGCAAGGCTTTTTTGACCAGAACAGAACCACTCGGGATAAATACTACTACCTAGGTAGGCTAGGTGCCTGCTCCATATAAATCCAAGTAACAAAACCTCTGCTTCTATAAATTATCCTACCTACTTAAGTACCTACATACACAAGTATAGATAGGTACGCGTAAGTAGTTTTACACAGAATATTTAGGTGAGTTACAAGATCGTTACAGCTTGTACAGATTGTAGCTGCCTCGCACTTAGCGGACATTTAAGCATCCGCGTCACTAAAAAAAACCATACCTAACTTGGCTTAGGCTTAGTGCCAACGAACCGCAACGTCGGAGTTAAGTAACATAGTAAGCTAAGCTAAGCTACTACACGTCACAGTTCGTTCTACTCTCTGCGGCGACGGTGAACCTCGTGGGCAAGATATTTCACGAACGATACTTTATATCAGTAGAAAGGCGCACTCTTCAGCTCCTAATCAAGCTCCCGTCGAATGAACCAGTCCATATAGTTTGAAGTCAAGCCATCATTCTTTTCGCATCCACTGAGTCGTGCATATCGTGATTTACTACCATGTCGTGCCCTGCATGCTTCAGCGGCGCCGTCCACGAGGGCACCCCCACCGGCACCGTCACCAAGCTCCATGGTCTTGATGTCTACGTCGCCGAGCCGGCAAGTGGAAATAAGCCCAAAGGCATCATTGGTAAGTGAGATGCATGGGCAATGAATGACATGATCTCTACTGTAGATTGTATGGCTCGCGGTTCACGGGAGAGTTGCTGACCTTATCTTGATTGCCCAGTCCTCATACCTGACATGTTCGGCTGGGATTTCGTGAACATCCGACTGATGGCTGATCACTTTGCGAAGAAGAGGGATTATCGAGTCTATCTGCCAGATTTCATGGACGGTAGGATTCGCCCTACATATCCTGATCGAGCAGCTAACATCGAGGGGCGTTTTCAGCTGACAATATAACAGGCCATGGTGCGCCAGTCTCGATGATCGATTCAATGCAGGTACTTCTCGCCCCCAAAACGTGGTATGATACCTTCTCCAAACCGTAAGCTGCGTACCCCTCCCATTTCGCCAATGTCGTGTCTGGATGACCTAAGCCTCAATTGCAGATTCCACGCCCTTACAGTTGCACGTCATGGTGTACCCGCCATGTTCTTCAACCGCCCTGGAAAGACCTTTCCTGTCGTCAAGTCTTTCATGGAGTCACTGCGACGCAACGAGGCTGCTCATCTTCCTGTGGGGGTCACTGGCTACTGCTGGGGAGGCAAGCATGTCGTTTTGCTAGCCGAGGGCTTCTCAATAGACGGCAAGCCACTCGTAGATGCAGGATTCACAGCTCATCCCAGCCTTCTTACTATACCTGATGAGATAGAGAAGATCACAGTCCCTGTCAGCTTTGCCCTAGGCGACAAGGACTTCATGGTCAACACCGAGCAAGCGATGCAGCTAGAAAGCATTGTTCTAGAGAAGCCCGACGGTCAGAAGGGTGAATGCCGCATGTATCCTGGATATGGGCATGGCTTTGCCTGCCGTGTGGACGTGTCCAACGAAGATCCCAAGGCAGCTGATGAAGCTGAAGATCAAGCACTGGCATGGTTTGAGAAACACTTTGATGATGTCAAGTACTAGAAAACATCATTGGTGGATTGTCGCGGATAAATTGAGCCGCGCGGGAGTTCAGATTCTGTGTTTCGTCGCACTGAAACAAAATGCGCAATGAGAGGAACTGTACGTGGGTGCCTAATCACCGATGTCAACAAGTGGTGGCGTTGATGTGGTGGAAAGACTCCCTTTTTAGACTCCCTTTTGGATCCGGCCTGAATGCTCCTCAGGTCGCACAACATCATGCTCCCTCCCTCTTAATCTTACAATTATCGCTCACCGCAGTCTCCGTTGATAAGTTATTCTTATTTCCGCGCTATTGCAGTACCTAATTCACTATCCACCTATCGGCAATCACTGCTTCTCATTCTCCGAGAGGCGACGTTATTTACTTACTATAAATATCTGGGTAGCATCTATACCAACTATCAGACTCTCAAAACAGGCTTATATCATCCAAGATTAAGTGATTCATAAGCTTTAACACCGCTTATATATGGTCTAATGATGATTACCCTACTACGGAGTATGCGGCAATAACTGTTTGGTCCAACCCCGGTGCTGATCAGCCCAGGAACACCCTCCAACGTTCGGCTATCGAGTACCAACTATACAGCTACCTCCTAAGATGTGGCTTGCATCATGCAAGGTGTTGTGTGCACGGTGGATCCAACACCCAACGCTGGGCGTAACGTGTGACTAAAATTAGCGGTGGCTGTTTCTACTGTCTCTGCCTTGTTCAGTCCTCGGGACTCGAGCTGGATCTTCATTGGCCTTGCTATTCTAGTCGGCTGGTGTGCACCGCCGTGATCATGGACGAGAACCTCGTATTCACCAAGATTAAGACGAAAGTCCCCAACATCGGCCAAGGCAGAACTAAGCACCCACAGCCGACTGCTTAGCAAGTCCAATCGGCCCAAAAAGCAAGTTGCTCAGCTAAACTCAGCACTATCGGTTTTCGTGCCGTTGTGTGACGTAGCTAGAACCGAAGGATGTGTCGGCCGGGCTATACCTTACTTCATAACCCGAGCTTCCGTGGTGTGTATTTTCATCGGTTGTTCCTTCACCGTAGTATTTCCATTGTTAGAATTCATTTAGATGACACAGTACAGGAACTATTGACCGTTGAAAACACACTCAACACGAAGGCGTCAATCTAGGAGCAGGTGGCGCTGACGGTTCGACTTTATTCACAGCCAATCAACATCTTGACTATGGTCATCCCGTCAACCACCTCCTCAAAGGGGGTCAACCTCTTCAGCGTAACGGCAAGATGACGACTCCTTGCCTAGGATTTATACAGACCTGGGACAGCATCTCCACAATGGAAGGCGATAGTGTAGCCAAGCTGATGGCTAGTGACGAGACCCCAGCTCAAACCATCTAGCACTACGCCCAACCTCAAGGCTGTCTCTCCAGGCTGCCCTCTATGCTGATCCTGATACATTTTGCATTAGACTGCGCCGCTCTCCGTAGCTCCTCCTAAAGCCAGAAGAAACAACACTTCAGAATGACCGCAGGAGGGGTCATGGTATTCAAACTCATCTCATCATTGCAGGACCTGTGCCTGGCATGCTTGGCCCACACACCTGCAGAGAGGCAGGCCGTCTGTCTAAGCCCGTCTCTCGCAACATTCGCCCAAAAAGTAATCAATATATGCACCTGGCTACTGCGTGCTGCCCGGAGGCTGCAGCTCACCCCGTCAGCGGCCCGGGACCGATATTGCTCTCAACAGGTGGTATAGGGGCACGTGGCTTTGCAGGTTTAATATGAAGAACGACGAAGGTGAGGAAATAGAGCAAGACTATAAGAATGGATAAGATTTCCTCCGTAGCCACAATATCTTTGACGGACGTGGCATCTGCAGTGTACCGAAGCAAGCATCCCCCTTCCGAACATTGTCATTCTTTTGCCAAATCATCGTGTCGGTTCGACTCGACATAACACTCCAAACACTACATGAATATATTGCCATCCACTTACACTCACCATCGGTGCCACTGTTGAAAGATGAAGACATCTGCCCTCTTCCTTGCCTGCGCGGCCTCCCCTGTCCTCGCCCACCCGGGCATGGATCGCGTCATAGCCGAGATCCAAGCTCGTGATGATTTCGTGCTCAATGCCCGTTCCACCAGTCTCCTGGGGGATTTAGTCAACGGGGTCCTCACAGCCGTAGGACAGACCATCAGTAACATCCTCACACAAGCCACAAGTGCCATCGCCCCAGGCACCAGCGCGGCCTACAAGCCCCCCGGAGCCCTCGGCTCGCCCGCCTGCACAAAAGACCCCCTCTGCGTATGGTACTACGTCGCCACCGACATGTGGGGCGACTTCGCCGACGCAAACGGCTGCACCGATCTCGGCCGCGGCGCCATACGGCTTGGTTTCCACGACGCCGCCGCCTGGGACGTGTCCTCGTCGTACGGCGGCGCAGACGGCTCGATCCTCCTCACGGACGAGCTCAGCCGCAGCGAGAACCGCGGCCTCGAGGAAATCGGCGCCCAGACGAAGACATACTACACCACGTACCACCCGTACGGCGCCGGCATGGCCGACATCATCCAGCTCGGCGCCCTCGTCGGCACAGTCGCGTGTCCCGGCGGCCCGCGGATCCGCGCCTTCGCCGGCCGCAAGGATAACCCCGTCGCGGCGCCCCCGGGAAAGCTGCCGTTACCATCTATGGACGCGCCCACGCTGATCTCCCTGTTTTCCAAGAAGACGTTCACGGCGAGCGACCTCGTGGCTCTCGTCGGCGCCCATACCGCCGCGCGACAGCGCTTCGTCGACCCGAGCCGCGCCGGCGCCGCGCTCGACTCCGACCCGCAGATCTGGGACGCCTCGTTCTACGCCGAGACGCTGACGGGGAACAATAAGACCTTCTTCATTCTGCATAGCGACAAGGCGCTCGCTACGTACTCCACGACCAAGGCGCAGTGGAAGACGTTTGCGGGATCGACTGGGCAGGCTTTGTGGAGTCCCGTAAGTAGATTTTTTTTTCCCTCCTTTCCTTCCTTTTTCTTTTTTTCCCCTTTTGTTTTACATCGCTTTTCGTTGCTGGGATGGAGTGATGTTGATAAGTGCTCGTTGGATTGCTTAACTAACATGGATGGTTTCAATAGGCTTATGCCCAGGCTTACTTCCGCATGAGCTTGTTAGGGGTTAATAACTTAAATCAGCTTACGGAGATCACTAAGGTCCTTCCTTCGCGGTGAATAAGCGGGGGTGGATCTTTTTTGTATTTTCTTGTATGTGTATTATATCTATGGGTATCTTCATCGTTTCCATGACTGGTATAGCTGCGGAGTGGCGGCCGGAAGCCCAGATACTTCTACATGAAGGCGTTATAGTGTATCATATTGTTAGCAGTTCGGTGTTTTTGATCGTTAGGTGGAGGTCACATGGTTGAACCGTACTTGTATGCTACATGCGTAAATCATAGCTCAGCGTGGCTTTATGTACAGCTACGCGAATCCTACACGTTTTCTAAGCTCATATAAGACGGAGACGCTACAACTCTAATAGACCGTTCCAACCCAGCCAAAGGTCAATAAAACATATATTTTATTTGATTAAATACTACCCAAAATCTATGATTGGTAACATCTTAATACCCGTAGCTCAAAATAATCTAGGTAATCCCTTCTTCGTCCACTGATGAGCAAGCGTCTCATTACCCCGACGCTTCTCCTGGAACAGGCGCTGCGTCATCTCCTTGTACAAGTACGTATACGCGCCGTTATAATTAATCGAGTGATCGGAATCCGTATACGCGCGCCACTGCATCTTCGAAGGCGGCACGCCCTCGCCGACAAGCAAATCGACGAGCGCGGCAGTATTCTGATAATGCACGTTGTCGTCGCCGAGGCCGTGCATGATCGTAAAGCCGCCGGCGATGTTCTTGAAGCCCTCGGTCTTGCGCACCGCCGTCTTCGCGTAGCCGTCGGGGTTCATCTGGGAGGTCTTCATGTACCGCTCCGTGTACATGCTGTCGTAGAAGCGCCAATCGCTCACGGGGGCGACGATAAGCGCCATGGTGAACACCCCCGAGTTAGCCTCTACGACCTTCGAGGAGAGATACCCGCCGTACGACCAGCCGAAGATGGCGATGTGGTTCGTGTCGATGAAGCTGTGGCGCGAGGATAATTCTTGCGCGGCCCAGATCTGATCCTCAGCTTCGTACTCGCCGAGGTGAGATGCTACCAAGGACCGATAGGCTCGGCCATTGTACCCTGAGCCTCGGTTGTCTACGGTGTATGTGATATACTCGAGCTCCGGGTCGGAGGATATGTAAGCATTCCAGTTAGGTGCAGCGTATTGCTTGTCGACCTCCTGGGCACCTGGCCCACCGTAGGGTGTGAAGAGGACAGGGTACTTCTTAGTGGGATCAAACTTAGGCGGGAGGACTTGCTTGACATCCAGCGTGTAACCGTCGGGATGCTCTAGTTTGAAATATGTGCTGTTCGGTAAGTTGTAGTCCTGGAGTTTGTTCCAGAGTGCTTCATTTGACGTAACAGTGCGCAACGGGGTTTTGGTATCGTTAACAAGGTACAGCTCCTGATAGGGTACATCGGGGCCGAGGTAGCTGAGGATATAGTAACCACCGCCAGAAGAGAAAGAGGCGCTCCAGGAAGCCGCTACTGTGTCGTCAACAAGGGCAGTCTTCTTCCCGCTGGAATAAGAGACGCTATAAACATGTCGTTCAGTGCTATCATGCTCTGTCGAGGTATAGTACACCAATTCAAGTGATGTATCAACCTTTAGAATGCTGACAACTTCCCAGTCTCCGCTTGTGAGCGCTTTTGAACTTGAGCCATCGGCAGCATGCAGATAGATGTGCTGCCATCCGGACTCATCGGAAAGATCAACGTAGTAGGTGGTGCTAGATCCATTGATAGACCCAACATACTGTATCGCGATATTGTTATCAAGCCAGCCGTCTGTGCCATCGCGCTCTCGCACTATCTGTGTTGTGATATCATCGCCAACGTCTACACGTACGTGTTTCGACAGATCTTGTACGCGGTTAAAGGCGGTATAGATGAAGGTATCATGGTTATCGGTAACCCATGCGAGTTCTCCAATGATTAAGTCATCTTCCTCAAATGCCTCCAAAGGAATGACTTGCTTCTCGTTACCCTCAACTGAGAGTAATGTTAAGCTGACAGTTGGATTCTTGGTGCCTACTTTGGGATAGCGCAGGTCAAGATTGTTGGGGTAAACAGGGGCGATCTTCATGTTGTCCATGAAATAGGGGACAGTGAAGGTTTCGACACCAGTCTCGTTGAACCCAAGGTACGCGAGCTTCTGGCCGTCTGGAGACCACCAGAGCGCCGAGCGGCTACCGAAGATTTCCTCCTCGTATACCCAGTCAGGGACACCGTTAAACATGTCCGGAGAACCGTCATCCGTAATCTGAGCAATACTGCCGTTCAATTTTAAGAACAGATTGTTGCCGCGGACGAATGCGATTGCCTCGCCAACAGGAGCGAATTCGGCGTATTGAATGTCACCGACCTGGTCTTCTACTAGTGGGGTGACCTCTCCCGAAGTGATGTCGAGGACTGAATAATCTGAAAAATAGGAGTGGCGGTACTGCTTGGTGTAATTGGTAGCAAAGAGCACCCTGGACAAATCCGGGTGAATCCAGTACTCCCAAACTCCGCTGGGGATCACATCGGCCGAGACAAATGTGGAAGATTCCCCCGTGATGAAGTCCTCGAGTATCAACGCCCCATCATCGGCTTGGTAGATCTGCAGAAGACAATGATTAGCATTGAGCACTCATTACCAACATCACAAGGACTTGGGAATGTGTCGACAGGACGAAACATGAAATTTCACGTAAGGGTTTTTCGAACTATTCAATTAAGAGGCGGGTGTGTATTAGTGTTATCGAAGACTCACATATTGACCATCCTCGCCGCCAGAGAGCCAGCTGACAGAAATACGACTGGCGCGGAATTGATTGCTCACGAATGTCTCATTCCATTTCAGAATCTTGTCACCGTTGCCAGTAGGTTGGTAAGGCTGTCGCGCAGGCTCAATGGCTAGAACCGTGGATTGCAGTAGGGCCAGGCCCTCAATGAACGAAAGGGATGAGAGCCTCATGGTGCAACCCGATCTGTACGAGCCTGGAACCACAAAGAGAGCACGGTTGCGGTGTGCAGCTAGAAGGAGAGATCAAGAGGGAACCGGGCCTGGCGCGCCGGGTATTTATACCGCGCGTATAGCCATGGCAACACTCTCAGTACTGCTTATCCTGGGTTCATAACCGCATATCTCATAGATAGATAGTGCCATCAGCGATCCTTGTCTTGCACGTCAACTTTTTTGGCGGGGAAGACTTGGAGAGACACCAAGTACGGAGTACGTTGTGCTTGGGGAGAACCATCGCCTGCCTGTACAGGAAAACCAGGCCTTTGCCGGTCGACTTGGCGTTCGTCGAGATTGGCTGTCGATGTCGCCTCATCGCGAAATGTAGTCTTGGCAGGGAATACCAAGAACTGTAACCACGCAGTTGGGGAAGTCGGAGAAAACTGGGAGTTGACGCAGAGGTGTCTCCATCGTCGACTCTTTAGAATATCTCGATACAGCCATATAGATTAGAGTCACGATCTGAGAGCTACACTGACATGAACGTAGCAGTGGCATACAGTAGTATACTGACTTAGGTAGCAAGAGACGAGAAGAGAATCGTGAGTGATACAATGTCTGGGCATTTAACGAACTGCCAAATAGGGTTGGTTCCGTTGTCTTGGTATCTTTGCACCTTGGCTCATCTTACATACTGACCTCATACTCCGTGGTCTAGCAGCTCCTCACATTAGTGTCTTATCGAGTCTACTTGAATACATACCCAGGCAGCCACCTGCTTACTTATATACCTACGAGTATAAAAATGATGAAGCCAATGGATGATGCGGCTATGTTCTCAGGTATAGCCTCAAGTCTTTAGGTACATATGTATTCGGGAATCGGCTGAGGCGGCGGGTATGGCTGGCTAGCGTCGGACCAACCCCGCCACGATTCCCCCAGCTTTCTACTTTTCTCCACGGTCACAGCGCTCCAATCGACGTGACGGAATTCGCGGTTTCGTCTCGCCCTCTTTGATCTCCTCAGGTAAACCTGCAGTAGCCGACAAGTACGCATGCCAGTAGTACATAATATACATATTATACATATTGATTCCCCTCTTAATTCGACTGTCGATACTTACCTACCCGAGGATGTCATCAACTATCCCAACACACGTCCAGCTGGCTGCACCAGATTAACACCAAAGTCACAATGCCTGTCACAGCCTTTGAACTTCCTGAACGACACAAATACCAGAACGGATTCGGCTCATATTTCGAGTATGTATTCCACTCTTTCTAGCCTGTGGCTGTGACATGTCGTTTACGTGCTCACCTTGCTAGATCCGAGGCTGTCCCAGGCGCCCTCCCCGTTGGTCAGAACTCTCCCCAGAAGCCCCCGCATGGCTTATACGCCGAGAAGCTCTCCGGCACCGCCTTCACCGCTCCACGGCACGAAAACCAACAATCGTGGCTATACAGGATCTTGCCCTCTTGCGCCCATCCTCCTTTTGCCTCGATAACCGACGGACCCTACAAGTCCGACAAGCCTTCCGATCCCGCGAGACTCGAGTACATCCCGAACCAGCTGCGGTGGGATCCCTTTGACCATAATGATCAATCTGATTTCGTGTCTGGGATGCGCCTCGTCGCCGGTGCAGGCGATCCCACCCTAAAGCAGGGCATTGGCATCTACATATACGCTGCCGGCAAGTCCATGGATGACCAATCCGCTTTCTACTCGGCAGATGGAGATCTACTGGTTGTACCGCAAGAGGGGGCTCTCGACATCAGGACGGAACTAGGCTGGCTCCTTGTTCGGCCGATGGAGATATGCGTCATCCCTCGCGGGATCAAATACCAAGTTCACCTACCGTCGGGGCCAGCACGAGGCTATGCTCTCGAATTATACCAAGGACACTTCACCCTTCCAGAGCTCGGCCCAATTGGCTCCAATTGTCTCGCCAATGCTCGCGATTTCCAAACCCCTATTGCTTGCTTCAGCGAGGACTACGGCGCGACCGCATCAGAAGGGTCGAACACCTACACAATCACTGTCAAGTTCAACAACTCGCTGTTCCAGACCAAACAGCCCCATACACCCTTCGACGTCGTAGCATGGCACGGCAATTACTATCCCTACAAGTACGACCTGGGCCGGTTCAACACCATCGGCTCCATCTCATATGATCATCCTGATCCCTCCATCTTCACTGTGTTATCAGCGCTGTCAGATCATCCTGGAACTGCCATCGCCGATTTCGTCATTTTCCCACCGCGTTGGCTAGTCGCCGAGAACACTTTCCGTCCACCGTGGTATCACCGCAACACCATGTCCGAATTCATGGGTCTGATTGCGGGTGACTACGATGCAAAGAAAGGAGGACAGGGAGGTTTCATGCCTGGCGGGGCAAGTTTACACAATGTCATGAGTGGTCATGGGCCGGACGCGAGTAGTTACGAGGGTGCGCGCAATGCCGAGCTCAAGTCGGCTTTGGTGGGTAAGGGCAGCTGTGCTTTCATGTTTGAGAGCTGTCTGATGGTTGGCGTGACGGAATGGGGGAGGAATTCATGCAGGAAGGTCCAGGAAGGCTATAGCGATGAGAGTTGGGGTGGTGTCAAGGTCCATTGGAAACGACCAGATGCCACCGGCTCCGATGGATCCGCTCCAAGTTAATGCAAGAAACAACACACTCTTTGGCTTGAGGAGATAGCTACGTTGATATCTACATATTAATTATTGTATCCGCCTTGATCAACCTTCGCTGTCTCTCACATGAACAATTCCCTATGACAGTGTCTGAGCTGATACCTATTACTGGAGCTTCAACATGCGAATTCGGGCACAACCACACCATTACTCTCATGTACCTCTCACACTTCTCTAAATATATGAAATTACCGACCTGGGCCTTCGGTACTTATCCATCTTCTCACCTCCCGATTTCACACCAGAAGCCCCGAGTCCGAGCCCGATCCCGATATCGATTTCGGCACAGCCGATTAGTCCCGACCTACTGTAGCCCTAGTGCAAGCAAGTACCGTAGGTAGTTCGTTGGCACACCTCCACGATCCACCCGATTTCACCATGACGCAATGGAGCCTGGGGATCGGGCCTATGCATACTTATACCTGATTTACTTTACGCTTGAAAAAGTCCCGACGATGAGCTGTTTGCAAGTCATGGCTAACTTTAAGATCCCTTATTCCTGTATAAGTATTCGGGGAGAATATTTATCAAACCAAGGCAACGTAGGTGGCCTCTACCTAGTCTAGCTCAAATCAATTAGACTACCGTCCTATCTCTCCACAGGTGTGTGTGTGTGTGTGTGTGCATATGTAGGGTCGCGGAGAACGGGCTCGGATATCTAAGGTGTTACATGGTATTATATATCGTCTAAGCCGACGCTTCAGCTCTCGCGCCACGGCGATTATACTCTTTCGCCCGATTTAAGAGGAGGCATGTGTGCTATCTTCTGAAATACCTAGCCAGCCCTAACTCGGTGCTTTTGCTTTTTCCATTTGGAAGTTACTCATCACCTTCATCAATTCAGAGGTTTCGCTCTCACGGTTTATCGTGTAACCAATTCGGATTCCTCCTTCCGAAGCTTTCCTAAAGAAAAAGGAAATTCCAACGGAAGAAAATCAAGAAAGAAAAGCAAATAAGGAGAGAGAGAGAGAAGGCGCCGAATCCGAAGATGACGCTCAAGATCTTGATTATCGGCGCAGGCGTGTGCGGCCCCGCGTTCGCGACACTGCTGCGCCGCGCCGACCCCTCTCTGTCGAAATATGAGATCACTATCGTCGAGCGCGCTGAGAAGTTGCGCGAGACGGGGCTGCAGATTGATTTGCGGTCTCATGGGATTCCTGTTGCTAGGAAGATGGGGCGTGAGTTGTTCATTGATTACTTCATTTATGCATTCCTTCTCTGCTTGGTTTTACACACACACACACACACACACACATATATATATATTCCATATTCCCTTTTAACCCTCTACCTCTCTATTCCCCCCTTTCCTTCAATCTCATGAATCAGCCACATATGCAATGGAAATTACGATGAAATTGAAAAGGCTGGATTCGTGGGTATACAGTAAACGAGTAACTAACCAAGTCCTGATGACCACAATGCAGTCCTAGAAGCAATCCGCCACCGCGCGGTCCCAGAACAAGGCGTAGCCTTCGTCGACAGCACAGGCAAGCCCTACGCGAAGTTCGGCAAGAACGACTCGGGCCACGGACGCCAGGCCTTCTCCTCCGAATACGAGATCATGCGCGGGGACCTCGTAGACGTGTTCTACCGCGCCAGTCTCGGCCTCTCCCCCGAGGGTGAAGGCGAAGACGAAGCACCCGCCGTATCAGGCGTCGTGACCAACGGCAACGTGCGCTACGAATTCGGCACGACTATAACCTCCCTTTCGCAACACTCGGCGGAGAAGGTCTCGGCGACATTTTCCACCGGGCGCACGGACGAATACGACCTCGTCGTCGGCGCGGACGGGCAATCCTCGCGCACGCGCAGGATGCTTCTCGGCAGCCAAGAAGCGAGCGACGCGTGTTTCAAGTCCCTCGACCTCTTATCCGCGCTATATCTCGTGCCGCGCAGCGCGCAAGACAACGCGTGGATGAACGTCCACCTGATGTCCGGCCGCCGCGGACTCTTCACGCGGTCGGCGGACACGAAGGCGGCGACGACGCAGGTGTACATGGCCGTCAGCACGAGTCGGTCGGAGGACAAATACGGGGTGTGCACCGCCGTGCGCGAGAAATCCCCCGCGGAACAGCGGGCGGTGTTCGCGAGGGCGTACGCGGACCAGCACGGGTGGCGGACCGACGAGTTCGTGCGCGCGCTGACGCGCGAGACGCCGCTGGAGGACTTCTACGCCACTGAGATCGGACAGGTGCGGTGCGCGAGGCTGGCCGTGGGCCGCGTGGTGTTGCTCGGGGACGCGGGATACTGCCCCTCGCCGATCACGGGCATGGGGACCACGCTGAGCCTGGTCGGCGCGTATATCCTCGCCGGCGAGCTCGCGAGACACGGGTCGTCCGACGGGGTCCCCGCGGCCCTGCAGTCGTATGCGCGCGGCGTCCGGCCGTACGTGGACGAGGCGCAGAGGCTCCCGCCCGGGCTACCCGGGCTGTTGTATGCGGAGACGAGCTGGGGGCTGTGGATCCTGACGACTGTGCTCTCGGTGATTGCGAAGTCGAGGATTGCGGATGTGCTCGTGAGGCTTATGCCGGAGACTTCGAGCCGGGATCAGATCCCGGAGTATCCGGAGTTGAATCTGGGGAACGAGAAGTGAGACAGACGTGAGATGAGTCCTCGCGTATATGGACCTGGCTGTTCTACCTGTGGGAGCAGGTCTAGAGGTGTTGGGGTTGAATACACCTTTCTGTATAATACTTATGATGGTGATGATGGATGAATCATGTCTAATATAGGTAATTTCACTTGTTGCGAGTAATAACGATAACCCCCCTTCTGGTCCCTCATCTCAGCAGTACATAATCCGAAAGCAACTCGTGAAACAATCATATCCTATACATCATATTCCTCGATAAAATTAGCCATATCCCTAAGTCTAATAACCCATAATGATATTTCCTTCCCCCCCTTCTCAAGTAGCAAGATAACGAATGACAGAGGACCCCCCACCAAAAACTCCCATACAAATACCCGCCGCCCTTCGCTATTTGGAGCAAAAGCCTCAATGAATACAATGTGTGTGCCGTGCACTTGAGGAACGCTCGCTCCGAAAACCCCTATCCAAGATGCTATGCGTAGTAATTAACCCCCTTGCTAATGCTGTCCGCTAAAGATGTGAAAATAAGCCCGCCCAATCACCCATCTAATAGTAATCCAATGAATTAACCCCTCACGACGCTAAAAGTCATCTTCCGCAATGAGCTTTCCACGCCCCCGGCGCCAGTTTCTATCGTTTCCGTCGGTTCCATAGTAGTCTTCCATTTCGTGCCAGTGCGCTCTCCAACTTCGTCCCATAACCGCTGCCAACTGTGGGCGTTGTGTAGATAGACCTTGTCGCTCCCGGCCTTGCCGTTGTCCCTGGGCAGCACCGTGCCGACCTGGCGGCCGAAGATCATGGCGTCTCGTCGTCCTGGCTGCAGGAACCGCACCATCCGGATCGCGGCGCGCACCTGGTCGTCCCAGGTGAAGAGGTGGAAGAAGCTGGTCGCGTGGATGAAGGTCATCTTCCCGTCGAGGACATCGAGTCTCTCGTCGCCTTCACCTTGCTTGACCAGATCGCCGATCACGAAGTCAGCTTGGAACGTGTTCCGGTCGCGGAACAGTTCGTAGCCGATGTCCAGGAATCGAGGCTCGACGTCGGTTCCGTAGAGCCGCGAGGAGTCGACGCCGTCGAAGGCGAGCTTGCGCAGCACTTGGCCGACGCAACAGCCTACATCTAGCAGACGTGTCTCGTGCTCGGCGGGTTCGGGTTCAGTCTGAGCCTGCAGTAGCCGGAAGAGGGCTACTTGGTAGTAGGCGTCCGCGGTGAATTCGAAGGACAAGAAGCGGAATCGCCCCACGCAGGCAAACGGATACACATCCCAAAGCCGATCGCGCTACGTACGTTGTGAGTGACCATGTCTACATCGTTAAATGTTCATAGGGCTAGTCTTGTTTCTTGCCCACATTCAATTTCTCCGGACCCAGAATTGGTAAGAATCTAGCCCAGTGAAAATAATTCCTGTGGGCGTAACAGAGCCTAGCTCTCTCATATAGATGGATTATGCAGGTAGGTAGGTAGGTATGCATCAGTGAACCACACAGGTCATTACGTACCATCTGGTAAACGTGGGTGTCCACATGTTCGGGAGGAATCCCGCTGTACTCCTCTAAGAGGGACCTGGCAGACTCCACGTCTGGCGGGAGCGTATGCATATACCTCCCTCCTGCCGACACGCCGCCTGCGCCGGGTTTGGTGGAATTAGCCTGTGAAGTCGGGGTTGTAGAGCGACAGTCGAAGTCGTAGCCTGCAAAGCGTAAGGCCGACGTTAAGAAGCCGCCGCCCCGTCCGGATCTGGCGGGTGATCTTTGGATGGCCATCGTAGTACGATCTGTAGATCAGTCTTAGGCTTATCTTGGCTGGGCTGTAGTGCTCTGGGCGGGAACACTGCGTCGACACAGCAGCATGCTCGTCGGCGATCCAGGCGGTTTGGTTGTTGACGATCACATGGGTACTGGCTAGTCTCACTCTGGAATGTTGTCCCAACGATGTGTCTGTCTACCAGACCTGACGGTGGCAGGAATGTAGGATTGATAATGGGGGTCACGGAGATGGGAATAATGTAAGCATCGGGTTAAGCAGCACAGCGGGAATGAATGGGGGTCTCAGGCTGAGCAATCACTCAATCTCACACAATCTCGCCATGCGATAATGGGTACCGGCATTCAACGTAGAACAGGGAAGCACTGGGCTGTAGATCCCGACCAAAGAACGAGCCCTACACAAACAGTCCGAACAGTCAGTCCTTCAGTCCTATGATAGGCGAGCAGGGACAGGATGTAAGCGAGGGGCTGGCCGACGTGGGATCGCTGTAACAAGGTAAGGCGGTGGTCTCACGTTGATTACTTAAGGGAGGGACCAAGGTAAGTAGGTTACACAATACCTACATACATAGTAGGTAGGTAATAATACATGCCCATGTCTCCGAAGGGAAAGTGGCATATCTCACAATCTCAGGCCATGGCCTGCCCAACATATCCACACGATATACTAAGGGACGCTCCTAGCGCCAGGCGGTCTGTTTTGGACGGGGACGTCGAAGGGGATGACCCTTGCCGCGAAGAGTGCCGAGGCCTAGCCATCGCTATTACCTAATTGACATCGGTAGATAGGGACGTCAACTTCGCTGCTTGACTCAAGTACGTGAATATCTTTTACTTAAAGATACATATACATACATACATATCCACCTCGCGAAGACCTACCTAAGTACCTGATTGTACGCGGATATCGCAGGCGATAACTTGAATAGCCTACATAGTTAGTTCAAGATATGGGCAGATAGCCGCGCGCGCCGTCCACGATTCGGCTGACTTTATCCCGTTTGCAGCGCCCCGGTCCTCTCTAGTGGCCGTTGGGTGTGCAGAAGATGACAGGAAGTGGTTAGTGGGGGACGTTTAGCACATGGCATCGCCGGGGATTCGATGGGTCCCATCTCGTGATCGGCTTCATCGTCTGCTCGTCATTCGAGGTTCGTTGAATACACGTGTACGTGTACGTGCGTAGCTCAAACGCTAACGATGGCCAAGGTATCACGGCGCGCACAATTTATTTGTTCGGCGAGTCGACTCACCGATAAGCATAAGAATAGAATATTGCGATGCCTCTCTCTCTCAGCTCAGCGTTACAATGGCCAGACAATGGTTCTATCCGTGCGCCAGATGGGACGGCAGTTCTCAGCTTCAAGTGTGCACTAGGTACGACTGCATAATAGCGTGCCATGTAAGTATCTAGACTACACCGGTTGTTCACCATCCCGGGACAACTGTCAGGGCACATCACATCGTAATGTAACATAACCTACCTTACTTATGCAGCGATAACTCTCCGCGCAAAGGAGGGGGTTAAAAGGAGAAGTGGGAATCGCGATAACCAAAAAAAGTCCCATACCTAGTGTACTGTGACACCATCGTGGGTTTTCCCCACTTAGATACATTAGATGCCTGGCCCTTGTTTCTACCAATCTCCACGCATAGTTTTTATTTTTTAAGGCCGACGCTTCTTTATATCGTCTTAAAGACGGCAGAAAACCTAAACGAGTCAGTGTAGCAGGTAGCACTAGCGGGACAAACCGAGGTTATTCGATCTTCTTGATCCGTTCGTGCGATCAGTTCGTTTTGATTAGGTAAGGAACTAGGTGTTAATGGTAGGTAGATCGCTCGGGGGATGAACAACTACCGTGCTTAACCCAGATGAGGGGAGATGACGTACAATCCCGGTTACCATATATTATACTGTACTGTATATGAAATCGAACATGGATTCTGATTGAAGATTTAATCTTAAGTTGTATAATATAAATGAAAGACAGGGACTTTATTGAATATCCCATGGGCAAGGCAGTAATAGCCGACATGTAAATCCAGTCAGTTGGGATCCAGCAGGTCGCCAGGTTGGAAGAATTTTAGTTCATTGATACCATAGCTTGTACATCGAATTAGGTTCACTCAATTCCCTTGTGATGGATATATTTATCCCAAACCCCTGAATTCTGAAGTGAGTATTTCGAATGTTCTACTTGTTCCACGGTCGTACCTGTTTAAGGAGACTGGTAAACGAGCTTAATGCTGTGGCAAAGCTCACACCTAGCGACATTACAGTCCACGAACTTGCCCGTAATATGTTCGGAGATATGTGCTTGCTTATAATTACAAGTACATTGGTATATCATATCAACATTGACACCCGTCTGATGTGTTATAATATCCCCCTTACTCTTTATTCCAGTTGGTTTGTTTATATACCTCTTCACGCAACTGTCAGAATACATCTCTAAACGGTGGATAGACAGTGCCCCGAGATGCATATGCCATAGCCGGCGCACCAGGCGCGACCGTCGTGCAAACCGCGTTCGGTTCGGCATGTCCCATGCCATCATGCATCTGGTTATGTTTAACCGAGACACCTTCGAATATCCTCGACATCTCGCTCGACATCTGTATTCCAGTCTGCATTCCGTCGTACCCCGGCGATGGCGGCACCACCATGAGTGGATGGGCGAAGGGAGAGCTCGTCGATGGGGTCGGCCCCGTTTGGCCGTGACCGGTGGCTAAGCCGGCCATGGTCAGCGCGGCACTCGAGTGTGGATCCTCAGCGAGGCCGAGGCGAGGCGCCACATCCCGTAACGATTTGACCGTGCCCCAGAGCCGTTTCGATACCCACGATTTCGCAGACATGTCTTTGAGGAGTTCCAAGGCCATGTAGAACTCATCCCGGCACGACGAGCTGAAATTCACCGGCGCGTGGCAGGACGCCACAAATAATATGGTAATAGCCGATGACAAGAATTGGTGATAGAATATCTGCATCCGGCGGTAGACATTCGTAGTATTATTGAGATGCGCTAGATACCGGATGGTGTTTTTGGCCAGCTTCACGGCGACCTCGGCATGACGCAAGTTGTCCATGATGCTACTATGTGTGTGAAGAATAGGGGTGAGAAGCCACATCCGAATCTGATTGTATCGCAGCCAGGTCCAAATCTGTAGGCGCTGTACATCGTACTCCTTTTGAGAATTTACTGGAGGGCTTAGATACTGGGGCAAATCCTCCCAATCGGAAAGATTCAACTGCACATCTTTTGGTAATTCGTTATACCACTGCTTGATCTGTCGATCCAAGTCTTCGATATCATCCACTGGGGCGTCCATGGCTACATCCGAGTCAAGATGCCGGACGCAGCGCCATACTTTCCCGCTAAGTTTTGAATACCTTATCATCATTACGAGAAATGGGTACTGTTCCTGAATTGATAAGTATTGAAGGATTAGACATGAGCTGAACATTAAGGAAACACTCCGACGATTCGTGCACCTGTAGGTATTACGAGATAACTTACCGGAGACGGTAGATCGGGATCTATCTCTTCATCTGGCATGACATAAGGTAGACCAGCAGAAAATGCCCACCGGCGATCTAGGACGTAGGCGCTCCAGAAAGTGTTAATAGCCAGGTTACGCTGCTCTTCATCTTTGATCTGCTCGACGACATCACGTTTGTGAAGGCCTAATTCAAGGCATAGTCGTACAACTTGGCCCATAACGCGCCAGCACAATACTTCGTCGGCAGAGAGGAAATGGTATCCAGCCTAAAACTGTCAGCCATTGTCGAATGCGGCATCACACGATACTCCCATATTGGCGCTTGTCTCCAAAATGGGGAGGGGGACTGGAGAGATGACATACAACTAGAGCTAAGAAAGGCAAATTCTGAACATTTGGCGGATCACTCATCAGCATCCTATTTGCAATAGGTTTGATGCCAGCATAGATCCTTTGAGCCTGTACACTATTTCCGTGACCTTCGACAAGTAACCCACCGCACAGGACAATCTTGAGTAGCAAAGTATTTGAATCATTGATACCGCCATCTTGGCCATCGGCAAATCCACTTTTCTTTGCCGCCGCCATCCACGTAGCTAACGTTTTGGCGTGAGCGATGATCGAGTCAATGCGAAGAACAGGGTACATGATGCCGACTTCCTCTTCGTATATACGACACAGACGAATCATTTCATCTTTGTCAAATTCCCATAGCGCATCTGCAGTATGATTCTCAGCCGATGGGATCATCTGAGGTGCCAATTTGGGGGATCCGCCGGGTGTCTCATGAGGCTGGCCGTTTGCATCAGCGTTATCACTAGGATATGAATATCCCATTTTATGTAAGGTATTTTTCGCAACATCGAGACTAAAGCGGTTACTTGTAACTCCTCGGAAGGCAAAAGGAGGTTGGCGGGGTTGAGGCAGTACCGTCATGGTGGTCGAAGTCGGCGTGCTGGAAGCCGAGGGGCCAGACAGGGTACGATCAGGTTGGTAGATAGGGCCGCCTGCTCGTAAGGTTTCGGCCCGTAGTGCATTCAAATTACTGAATAGAGTGTCGACCTGCTCTTGCAGGTGGTTCACCTGAGCGGCCATCTGCTTGAATTCATCTGAATCCTTGACACTGCTGGCACAGCAGTTCGGGGCATATAGGCATTGCAAGTTGAGATGGCCACACCGGCCACAGGGCGTCTCTCCATTGCATTTGATCTTGCGGCGCTTGCATTCGTTGCAAGCAATCGAAATATATCTGTTGCGTTTGCTTCTCTGTTGAGGGCCAGATCGGGGAGCGTTCGGCAATTCTTCCTCGTCGTCATCGGCATCACCGCCGGGAGTCTTCCGCTTTGTGCCGAGGACGGTAGCCGGCGTGGCCGCCCCGGGCGTTGAAGCGGACACAGATGGGGTTGAGCATGACGTTATTGTGTCATGACGCGTAGCGGTGGGGGGTTGTTTTTTCTTTGCCGTCTTCTTGTCGGGTTTGCCGATGTTCTGGCGCGACTGTGTATGCTGCACCGCGGACGGCGGGACACTGTTGCTATTTGGCGGTGCAGCGAGAGGCTCTCCATCGCCAGTATTCGCCCTCGTTGCAGCGGCCGTGGGAGAGGAGATGCCCGGCGGAATCGGGGGTACGACGTTGGCGGCTGTCGGAGGGCCGGGGAGATTGGTTAGGAATCGCACCTCGCCGACCTGATTCTCGAAGAACTCCATGCCCTTAGATCTGTTGTTGGTGTCTCATTCTTCTGTCGGAGTCGCATCGCCAGCACGGCAACCGTCATGGCCGCGGAGATCGTCGGGTATAAGCAGTAAGTAGGAGAGGTGAAGCACAAGGGACGTGCTGGCTCCGATGGAAAGCCAATTATCTCAACGAACTATCTAGCCTAGAATACTACTAGAATACTACCTCGTACAACGCCTCCAAACGGCGTCCTTCCCCGGTTTACGGTAATTTTACAACTAGGCTTCCCTTGCCAGAATTTATCGTCCAAGCAGATGTAGATTGCCCATTACTAGCACTGCGTACTACCCTCGCTACTAGGTACCTACTCCTAGCATGAATAGGCACTCGTTCAGGTGGTATTTTCTCGCTGAACGCCCTAGAAGTTACCGCACGGTATACCTTACAGTAGGTTATGACCTGGCTAAACCAAGACGTTAGCAGTGCACTATGATGCCCACCAACAGCGCTAATTACTGCACGCGATGCTCCGCGTCTCGCCGCGGGCAGGCCATTCCATGCTTTTACAGCGCACGCTACAGCCCGTACCGAGGAACAAGCGACGATCCCCTGCTTCCGATCGTCGGCCCTAAGCTGTTTCGGGAAATATGAAGCGGGAAACTACCAGCTAATCACGATAGCTTTGAGAAGCATGCCTCAGCTGAAAGTCCAAACCTTGGCTCCTCCAGCCTCGGATCCTCAAATCACACGACAACAGTAACGAACAACCTGTGCATTCCGTGAATGCTTACGTTAATTAGCCCTGTCTGTCTTCTCTCGCTAAGGTACCTACTCAGAACCGTACTCTAGTACCGTAGTAGTATAAGCACTTAATAAGTTAGGTGCTTATGGCCTGACGTAGTTTACATGGCAATCATGTTGAAGACAAGGGCTTCGTACTTAAGAATGCCACGTGGGATAATCTTGCGTTATATTGACAACGGTAACTACCTAGGTAATCGCTCGCCGAGATTCCTTCGTCTTCATTTCTTACTGTACTATATATAACCATGAGCATTTACCTAGTCGCCAATATCTCTCTTGAGTATACCTAGGTAGTCCATACTTGGACCATGTCATATCCCGTGATCTCTCCTATCTACTACTATCTACTATCCCTTGATTTGAGGTATTTGAATTACATGTAGATCAGCTTGCTTTTCTTGATGCGTTATAATAGGAAATAGAAATGCCTACACCTGATTTCAAGACCTGGCTAAAACAGGTAGGTGCCGGACAGCATGGATGACGCTAACCAATAATACCAGCCGCGTACAGCGCCTAGCCAGATATTTCATACTGTACTGCTTGGAGATTCACGAAGAATATCCATGAGAATATCTTGTCTGTGGTGGAAAGGTAATACCTCCGCAGATGATGCTCCTATCTACACATCATCTCATCACAGAGGCAAAGCTGTTTCAATTCGTCCCCAACAATCTCCAAAGCCGACCTTCTGCCCCGGCTGCCCACAGCTTCCTCGGATTATAATGATATCGCCATCTTTCAAGAACCGGCGAACATCCATGCCGTAGAGCATGATGTTTTCCTTGCCTCCTTTGCTCAGCTCCAGGAGACTACCGCTTTCTCGGAGACTCGGCCCGCTAATGGTGCCTGAGCCAAGCAGGTCGCCAGTGTTCAATGGACAGCCGCCCAGGGAGTGATGAGCTATCATCTGTGGGAACGACCACATCAGATGCTTTGAGTTTGTCTGGGAAATCGTCGTTATGTCTCCCTCCGGTGCTGCGAAATGTTAGCCGCGAAGATCGCTATTCCTGGTAGCATGTATATCACCTACTCCGAATATCGACCTCTAGGTCAATGGCGAAGACGGTGTCTTCTCTCCCTTCCTTTAGATAATCTTGTATCGTCGTCTGGTTCTCGATTGGCTTCGTCCGAAATGGTTCGAGGGCGTCGGCCAAGACTACCCAGGGGCTGATAGTCGAGGCGAAGTTCTTGCTGTTGAATGGGCCCAACGGAACGTATTCCCACGATTGTATGTCGCGCGCGCTCCAGTCGTTCAGAAGAACGTAGCCGAAAATGTGATCCTCAGCTTCGGCGACCTTGATGGGCGATCCCATCCGGTTTGGTGTTGCGATAATGCAGCCCAATTCGAGCTCCATATCTAGCCGCCTGCTCGGCCCTGTAATAGGCTGCTTGGGCTCTGCCGTTGGGTCGAGCAGAATCTGCCCGTTTGGACGCCGAATAGATGTACCCGAAACCACAATGCTAGAAGCTCGCCCGTGATACCCTACGGGTAGGTGCATATAATTCGGCTGTAGGGCGTTCTGCGGCCCACGAAACATTGTCCCAACCGCATAAGCATGGTGGTACCCCGCGTAGAAATCAGTGTAATCCCCGATCTTCATGGGAAGATGAGGTTTCGCTTTTGTGCGAGGCAAGAGTGCCTTCTGTCGTAAATCATCGTTATCCCTCAGTATATCTGGGTCTGTCGTCTCAGCCGAAAGAAGGCGCTGTATGGTACTTCGCACCTCTCGGTGTACCCCCCGGCCCAAGGCTGCAAATGCATTGAGGGTTGGTTCGGAGAAAACATTCTCATTACCTACTAAGGCGGGAAATAGTTGTGTGAATCTTTCATATGTGGATAGGACTTTGAGATCAAGAACGTGCGTGCCAATTGCAACGGCGGCATGCGGCGCGGGGTCGTCAGTTGTGGATATGATACCGAAGGGGATGTTGGCGAGAGAAAACGGACTCTCGGGCGAGACGTCTGGCACCCACGTAGAAGCCATGGTCTTGACACTTCTTGTAGAAGATATATTACGCTTGAAGAGAGCCAATTGCCTCCGAAATGTGGTTGTATATCGTATCGTAGACTCACAATTGTTGACGTCGTCGGCGTAGTTGACAGGTCCCGATGCAAGCCGCGCACATATTCCGTTGTGGGGCTGACCTCGCAACAGTGTTCCTGCCAAGAGCTTTCAACTACCGTTGTCCTATGATTCTTGACTCGACCACACAATACTTAAGTACCTACTATGTAGGTAAGACTACGGGCTGTTACTCCAAAGAAAATGACAGCTTATCCATTTCATTGCTCCTTGATGGAGTTCGTGGTTCTGGATAAACCCTACCCTTGGTCTTGTATTCACACATGTTGTGTATAGCCACTTCTACTCGGTATTTTATGTTCTATGGGCACCCATCTTCAGCTTGTATCATCTGAAAACCTCGCAAGGGCTCATTGTTAGCAATGTGTCAACCTTGTGGAAGGGGTCCGCCTCCGCCATGATTCCTTCGTTCTGACCCACGAAATAGAATGCGCAGCATTTCGTGCACGCGACTTCGGTCGTATCGTCTTATCTAAGCTAGCCAGAGTACTAGCTGAAGGTCAGCTGGGAGGCTTCTTTGTCTGGTGATCCTCCGGGGCCGTCAGGATCCCTATGACTCCTTTATACAAAAGAATGAACAAAGGTAGCGAGAAATTCAACCCGTCATCCCATCGATCCTAACTACGTGTTCGTCATGTGTGCCATTTCTGGATTTTACACGCGCAACTTGGATGCGGTCATTTGGTCGCGCCCAGCGTGAACGCCAGTCGCCATGATTCCATCTGCGATTAAACAAGCCCTGGGCAGAAATTTGATGGCGAAGGACGACCTCATCAAATTAGCTAATAGGCTTGGCCCAGTATATAACTGTGTCGCTCACTTTGAGGCGCTCGAGGAGAAACGAGGCTACGATAACGGCAAGCAATTCCCTACCAATCTCTACAAGGGCGGCACCCAGAAACTCTTGCTTGACCATTGGCTGTCTGACGGGCCTGATATCTACGTACTCGATGGCGATGGCTATAACTTCGATGCCGGGGTAGCTGGATGTGAATGGGCCGCCTTCCTACGTGTGCGGGATCCAAGTGCTATTGTCTTACGCGTATATCCTAAGGATCGCACCGCGAAGGCAGAACATATTCTATGCCAGCTCTTGAGCTCCCTTATATTCAATCTCGCCGTTCTTGTCCCGGAGAAAGTTGACAAGGTTCCTGATCTTTGCAAAACGAACTTCGAGTTGCTGGCACAGGGTGGTCCGCGGGGCATCGATGCAGGGCTCAGGATCCTCGAGGCTCTCCCGCCACTTGACTTAAATGGAGGCAGGATGTTGTGCATCGTGGACGGACTGAATCGAGCTGAAGAAGGAAACACGATTGATAAAGTCAAGCAGTTGACAGCCGTTCTTGGACGAATACTGGCGCGAAACAACGGGCGTCTGCTTTGCACTATGGCGAAGAAAACGGTATCTACATAGTGACTTAACTCTTCCTTGATAGAAGTAGAAGTTCATTCAATATGAAAGCTGCGATAAAACCAGGGTAATAGCTTCTTCCGTACCGAACCACGAACTCGCACATGGACTACCTAGGCTTCCATAAAGTCAATTGAGCGTCTCACCGCACCAAGTAGAACCTTCAAAAGACCCTTAGGCGAGAGCTCCCCAGGAGAGCCAGTCCAAGTAGTCATATCTACAATATCCCTCACTCCATTCTCTTTCCATATGTGGTCATCAAGAAACTTGATCGTGTCCTTGTCCAGCTCCCTACCCGCATCACCTACCCGGAAGAATTGCACACCAGCTTGATACGGCGGAGCCCCCATGATATCCAGCTTTCTCGCGATCCGCGCGATGGTACCAAAGGGTTCATCGTCAGCGTCCCAGTCCATATCCGAAATCACAATGACGTTGAGCGCAGGAGGCCAATCCTTATTCCCGCTTTCTCGGACGGTGGTTTCGTACTTATTGACATACGAGTCCAATATCGATGCCAATCGCTTGTCCATGCGACATTTACCCTTTGGGCTCACGTTGTGAAGGATCCCGGCTACGCTGTCATGCATGTCGAGTCGTCCTCTCATCAGGCCGATGTGCTTATACCCGCTTTGGCCGGTCAAGAAGTAGCCCCTGGCGCGATGGTTGACGAATTCGATGTCGATCCCGTTGGGGTCGTGCTCGACGCATATCGGCGCGATTTTTCTGATGATGTCCCCAACCTCGTCCCAGCACTTGTGCATCGATTCGGAATCATCGACGAGCAAGAGTGTATGGATGAAGCCGAGAGCGGCATATGGGTCGTTGTGGTTTCCGACATGATCGAGGAATAGCACGTGTTGTCTGGGTCCTGGCCCCGATGTTCGCTCTGGTGGACCAGATGGTATTGTTGACTCTAGAGGATACGGCAGCCCTTTGCTTTTGTTAGCATTATTGTGCACACATTAATAAGCTCATGGGAATTGTATACCATGATTCTTATCCTTTTTGTGTGACTTCATTTTGAGGTTTTGCCAAATGATGCAACTTGTTAATTGGCAATTACTCTGAACTCTCATTTTGAATGAACTTGTTTATTAGATTATATAATGCTCTAGATTCCCGGCTTCTTTGTTCTATTGGAAACACGGGTTGCGAACTCTCTTTGTTCATTGTGTCTGATTCCATCTGTCACTGAGATAACGTGAATCAAACGTGTAGGGGTTTGTCGGTAATTCCTGACAGTCTTGGCATGATCTATAACCATCAGTTTGTCAAATTCAATGGAAAAGATGCCCAAGTAGTTGAATAGGCTGAAAAGATCTACTAAGCCTCTGGTTTAAGTTAACTGGAACTACTCTCGATAGTCAACTCCTCCCATGCTCATGTGCACGTACATTGGTAGTTACAGAGCATCAGCCTCTACCCGAGCAGTAGGCAACCAGGCTACTGACAGCGCAACGCAAACTACTACTGTGTTGGAAGACATGTTGGAGACAATTCGCCCGGGGCTCCTATTCGCCAGGTATTTCGGTGGCCAAGGATTGAAAAGAAATAGGCCTGACCGATCATAGCCCCGAATGAACCAGAGCCTACCTGTAGGCTTTGCTCAGTCCAGCTAGGAGATGCGGGCGGTGAGGAGTGCTTGTAACCATCCGTGTCTTACACACATTCCGGTCCACTCCTCTACGGTAAGGCTGTACGATTGGCTCCCGGTCATGCAAAGATGGCATTAGCTTTAACTACAACATGTGACTGGTATGCTCATTTGCTGTGTTCAACCCCACTGAGATCGAGCGTGTGATGTTAATCCGTTGAGCCTCAACTGCCCCTCACGGCTCTGCCCTCCCGCTGGGATTCCGCCCTCATCGCCCGGGTTTCTCCTGGTCGCAAATCGTTAGGTAGTGGTATATCAGCCTTCTCACGGGAAGTATATATATAAGTGGTTGTGCATATATAGAAATTGACCATTGCCACCTCCAAACAAGGCATATTCTGCTGGACACCGAGAAAATTTCTACTTTGAAAAATCCAAAAGTCCTCGTGTTATTTTAGCAATGCCCTCTGTTTATATTTCATCTTATCGACTGCGCCAGGATAAGCTTGAGGAGTACTTGAGGGAGGCTTTTCCTGGCACTCGGATTGAAATTACTGTTCGTGATCCCCCCAGCCCCCATCATCCCGGTCTTGGCAGACCCCTCACCTAACTGCGCCCAGATTGGTGACGGCACGTATGATGTTGAATTGCCCAATGGACTTACTCAAGTAAGTCAAAGTGCCAAACAAGTGTGACTGACGGAACTTGATCTAATGTCTAGCAACAGAGTCAATACGACAGGATCGACGGTCTGAGGGACAAGAGGCGAAGCCGAGACTAGGTTGGAGCGCTCAAGTAAGCGAGGGAGCCTTGAAAGTTGCCTCTGATGCTGGACGCCAACCGACGATGTTTGTGAAAGGGGTGGCAGTGCGGGAGAGGGGCTTGTCAGCTCCCCGATTTCACCCAATTTCACCCAATTTCAGCGCGACATTGGGGCTTGGATAGCCTGAGATAGCGCTAAAATGTACTTACCCATAATGGGATTTTGCCCTGCATTTAACTGATTATTGTACCTAACTTACTACAATCATCATTTGCACTTTCACCGGCTGATACCTCCGAATGATGTGATGTAAGACCTTGTCTAAAGAGCGGTACACACTGAGTGATTTGATTTGTTGAAAAGAGAGTCAACACAGCGCTGTTATTATGCCTTCCTCCGTTCTGCTGCGCTTGTCTGCATATTGTGAATGTTTTGATGCCCGTATAGCCCAGTTGTTCAAGTTTCATCCAGATTGACGAGTAAACAACGCCACCTACGAGGCGCCTAAAAGAGTGCCTTATAGCTGATTGTTTATTGAAAGGCGTTCTTCTAATCGAATCCTCAGGCCTATGTTTGCGTCGTACACTGTCAAATGTCAGTAAGCCTTGAAATCATTTGCCACGAGAGTGTTGATAAAAACCTAGTTGACTGCCGGCAAGTTTCCCTTCTTCGTGAGTTATCGAGCTATACAGATTACAAGTGACCCTACATCCCCACTGTCCCCTCAAGTCTGGCGATAACGAAAACTCTTGTCACCATGAATATCAGCACTATCGATCGTTTACTCGACGCATGCGCAGATGCCAACTCTTACCCCGCGAAACTCTTACGGTCTGAACTGTTTCCATACGCCCTTCAAAGATACAGTGAATCAGTCAACGAACGAGCATCCAGGGTGTTCAGTGATGTATCAGAATCTGACTACTGGAGGATTCGGTTCTACGATGTTCATGACCAAGGTTTGCACTCACTCTTGGAACTTGCGCTCGAGGGTTGGTGCTAATTCCTCAAAAGGGTATCCGTCAACACCTCATTTCTGCGATTCAATCGGACAGCTACGCGATTACTTGCTACAGGCCGGCCGCAAGGATCCCAAATGCCGTCATATGTGAGTCTAGTTTAGTTGCAACTCACCACCTAGGTAGTTCCGCGGGTCGGCCCGCAGTCATCCACAGTTTTCAAACATAATAGAATTCTATCTAACCCTGGTATCATCTTAGGTTTATCCGGGCACCGCACTCTAGGGCTCCTCTGGATTGTTCAAAAGAGATGGTTTCGCTCGCATTCACATTCCATCAAGTCATGGCTCAGTTCTTAGATGTGGTTCTCCATTTCGGAACTTTCCCGGGGCTCAACATTCCAACTGCGTTCCACCACTGCGTCTTTCGCCATGAGCGCTTCAATGAGCCGAGCGACGCTCATCGCTTCAGCATCCCACAACTGGGTCGTTCCGGAATGGAAATCAAGCATTGTTATAATCTTTGGGCTGTTGAAAAATCTAGCTCGACACACGGAAAGAGAGCCCCGTGGGAGATCCGACAGGCTGGGTTGTATCATTCACTTGATCTTCTCAACGGCAAAGCTACTTGGGTTCACATCAAGGCAAACAAACTCCTAGAAAGCCGAATCACTGAGGCTTATACTTCACCCGAATACCTTGAGCCCTGTGATATACAGACTGTTGACGATTCATTCTCCGCAACCCTTATGACACATCTCATCGTTTTCGAATGGTGTGGCGAGAACTGGCGTCAATATCTAAATCATTGGGAGTGCGAACTTGAGAGGATATTGATAACTATCCGGAATGCTCCCATACACAAGGTTGAAAGGGCGTTAGTTGACGTGAATTCCAATATAGCTGATATTTTGGGTTCCCCTGCGCAACAGCTATCAACTACCCCAACAACTCGAATCGGCACAATAGGTAGCCAACTGACTAGTTGGAACTCGCCTAGAGGTGCCACTTTTAATAGTATCTCGCCAACTCTGCTGCAAACCAGTTTCGTTGAGAAACATGTAGTATCGAGCCTGGACGAGTCCTCACAACCAACAGGATCAAAACCAATCGAACAAAATTTCAGCCCACTACAGTCACCTATCACTCCCAATGGCCAAACAGACCTTACAAAGGACCCGTTCGAGGTGTTTGACGATTTCAAATATAAAGATCTCCAGCATCTTCATTTCATCGGGTCTAAACTTCACGAAGCTGATATGATCATGAAGCTAGACGCTGATATACTTCTTGAAGTTGTAGAGTATTTCAAAGACTTCGTAAATGATTCACGGACGCCATGTACCATACGAGATGGGTGTCAGGGGACCCTCTTCCAATTTGTTCAGCGCACAAATGGTATCGTGCGAGAGCTTGAAGCCCAAAGAACACGAATATCAACATTGATTACTCTACTTAACGACGGCAAAGCACTAGTAAGTACTCGTCATCCAAATATCTCCTTCAGATAGATTAGGCTGACACGAGACAGTTTGATGCCATTACACAGTTTCGCAACATGGAGTTAAACCGGCTGTCATCAGTGAGAATGGAAATGATGACAAAGGACATGCACCAATCTACGCTCCAAATGGAGACTATAGCCGGCAAAACAGAGAAGGAGACATCATCGATGCATATCATCACACTAGTGACGCTACTATTTCTCCCAGGAACATTCGTTGCAGTAAGATACGCCTTGCCGAAAATACGCAAGGAAGTTAACAGACATCTAACTACTAATGGTCAGACATTCCTCGGCGCCGGCTTCTACCAATGGCCAGACTCCGACGACGCTAGCCAGATCCCCGACTACCCTATCTGGAGGTCAGAGTATTTTTTCTTGTTCGCAAAAATCAGTTTCCCACTCATGGCATTGACTCTTTTGTTCTGGGCATGGCCCTACTTATTGCGATGGATCTCACGGCGAAGGTCTTGCAGTATTACGTCTCGAAAGTGGACATGGGGCATACGGAGGCAGAGGATGGGAGACGAGGAGGCGCAAATAGCCTCCAATAATGCCCATGGCAGTGCTGGGTTTCTGCCTAGGTGGCTGAGATAGTTCTTCTTTTCTAACTCATGTATTCATGGGAGGCTTATCGTGCATGCGGGGCAAATACCACGGTGGAAATACCCCTCAACTCCAAGACCTTGATGCGTGATTGGATCATGGTGTGACTCTCTGCCTAGTCTGCTGACTTTCTGCCTTAATGAGGACATCGAGCCTAGCTGTATCGGTATGACCGACACCCACAGCGAGGTATTGCTGCAAGGCACCCTATAAGAATGCCGTGGCCGCGGACAGCAGTGGCTGCCCTTGAGCTGAATAATGAATGGCAAGGCAAGGCCCTAAATGAATAATGCGTAGTCTTCTTCCGTCTTATTCTGTCAAGCTGCATGTCTTTCGGGACTGTTGTATACCTAGCTCTTTTGCTCTAACAAAAGCGCAATGTCCCCGAACTCGGCTGGCTTCGTGTATCAGTGCTTCACGCGAGCTATCGAGATATTTCTTTCAATTTAGATATGTCGTATTGTCCATCCAACTCGCTCCTAGAGATACGCTCGCTAAGGGAGGAACCTCAAAATTCCTTGAGAGCTTTTCTTGAATCATCCACTACTTAGTATATAAGGTCTTGATCATCTCGTCTATTCGACCGATATCGTGCTGCTGCTTCCCGAGTTCAACAAGTTCGCAAATGAAGACGAAATGGCGACATCCACACGCGAACAAGTTCGGCTACTGTGCCGAAGTTTCAAGGAGTGGGTGCAGCGAAACGTCCAGCAAGGTATAGATGGCAATGATGAGGAGATGGACTATGTCTCCTATTCGAAGCTGAAAGACTATTGGACACATGACCGCATAGGAATAATACTCGGCTCCTATGACCGAGAAGTAGACATCGACATGATTCAACACAGCTTCATACAGGTCATCTCAATCCTCACATATATCTCGGACGACATTCACAGATGGACTGAATACCTTGTATACTTCTATAGAACCGAGACTGACGACGACTCTCTGCCTTTACCTACCTACGATGCGAGGTCACGTCGAAATCCTGCCCCGTTCGAGCATTTTCTATCCGACGGCCCTCAAGCTTGGTGGCAGTTCTCGACACATCAATGGAAGTTTTTGCCCCTCAATTTCAAACGAAAGGACAGGATTATAGACCGAGTGCACGACCCCAGAACCCTGGATCCGCGGTACATCATCCCCGTTACGATCGAGAGCGAGCTTTCAAAGCGACCGGGTGGTAGCGCACGTGTACTCAAGGTGCTGCCTCATGAAGCCAGTGGGCTACAACCGGAGAAGGTAACGTCACCCGCGACTTTACTCTAAGTTCATGAACTGATTCCATCTCCTGTATTCCAGGGCTCAATCACTCTCAAAATGTACGATAAAGATCGCTACCATCAGGAGTTCTTGCATGAACGACACATCTATACTACGATCCGGAACATGAGGCGCACAGCCACGATCGACGTGTCTAAATACTTCCTCAGTTATTATGGATGTTATGTACAAGGGAATAAGTGCGTTCTTGTGGTCGAGTACGCGAACCAAGGAAGCTTGTTAGAATTCTTTCGCAAGAATTGGCATTTACCACGTACCGGAGAAGAAGCGCGTGGCCTCTGGCATAGGCTGGGTCAGCTCAACAATGGGCTTGCTCTTTTGCATAATGGTGGCCAATACACTTCAAGTCTTCACCAGGACATAAAGCCGGCCAACATATTCGTTTTCGAAGACAGTTCCACCGGGGACCTATGCTTTAAATTTGGAGACTTTGGGACGTCAAGCGTCACCCCAATCGCTGAAATTGGGGATACGATTGGCGATGATCATGGAGGTACCAAGATGTACTCAGCCCCTGAGCTCTGTGCTATCGACGATGAAGTACATATGGCTGAGAAAATTACCTGGGGTGCGGATATATGGAGTTTTGGTTGCGTGCTACTGGACTTCGGCGTGTGGATGGCCCTCCACGAACGAGGCCGAATAGCGTTCCGGAAAGAGAGGGTTGAAGAGACTCGCAGCCTCAAACGAAGTTCATTGAGCAATGCAGGATATGATGGAGCTTTCCACAACGGGGAGAAGATACTCACTGCCATTAACCACAAAATTGAGGAGATCTGGCGACTTGACAGTCCAGTGGCACGATCTGTGGGCCATGTAATGGAGTTTATTCAGAGAGAAATGCTTCGACCAAACGATATGGAGCGCCTTAATGCGCAGCAATTAAAGGCGCGCTTTCAAGACGCCATTGAAGGCTTAGGGAGCCCGCCACTCCATAGTGTGCGCAGAATGCCGTCGCAGATCAGCGAAGACTCAATTGCACGAACCAGAACTTCAATCGGTCAAAATCGCGATACTGTAATACTTGAAAATAGGAGTAGCCGGGAGGAGGAAGCAGAGAGAAACGGGGAACCTCAAAGATCCGCAACGTGTTTTCCACAGACTCAAGTGACTGATGACGGAAATTTGAGCCGAGTATCTCTCACACAGGTATCAGTCGGTAGAAGCCAGAGTGTGACACTGCCTCACCGAGGAGCACCGACCCCGTCGTCTTCGTCGTCGAATCAGTCCAGACCACTTGGATCACGGCAAGATTCCGTCGGGCAATCTGGTAGCATGGTATCCAGAAACTCGAAACTTACATCGGCTTCTAACAGCACTTCCGAACATACCATCAAAGACATACTCGAATGGATTCCCAAGATTAAAGCTCAACAGGCATTCATGCCAAAGTGGCTAGAGAAAACCCTCGAACAAGTCCGTGGTCGCGACCAGGTAAGCAGGGCTGTTCTTGTGCACGTTGCGTAAACGCTTGAAAGCTTACCTACCTCTTATTAGTGTTTCATCTTTGACAACTCTGTATCCATGACCGAACACTGGAACCATGTAAAGCATGCCGGTGATGCTTTGACCTATGTTTTGAAGAATGTCGATCCAGATGGTTTTGAGGTTCATATGACCAACGGTGGGGACTCTATCAAGCGCAAGGATCGAAAGGGCTTGTTTGAGGCGTTCGGATATTTCGACACCCACTGTCCCCGGGCAGACTCGGGCTCCTGTGCAATGGAAAACGTCTTATCTAACATCCTTGAGACTGCCGTGACCAAAGCCTTAGCCCAACCCTCAGGTTTCTATCTTCGGAGATCTGGCAAAATCAAGGGCATCAGCGTCTACGTCTTCACGAACGGAGTCTGGGAGAAGCGACGTAGTCGTTGCGGATCACCCCGAGAAGCAGGAGGTGTTGAGAACGCGATCAAAAGCGCCGTCCAAAGGCTGCAAGACGCGAAGAAAATGAGGACATTCCTCTCAATCCAGTTCATTAGCTTTGGCAACGACCCTGAAGGTCGTCGTCGGATGGACTGGCTCGACGACGACATTGAAGAGATCACGGATGGTTGGGATATCGTGGACACGACGCATCATACCGGGAGCGTTGAAAAGATGGTCATTGGCGCCATCAGCGGTGCGATGGATGGCGACAAGCATTCCAAAGCCACGAACAGGGAGCCAATTGGTGTCACCGAGACGTAGCTGCATCTGGCACATCGTGTATTCCGTAGTAGAGTGTCATCGGAGCGCCATTGAACCCCGAAATCGGATTCAGTGAAGCAACATCAAGCGGCTGTCACATTTTATCGTGTGCCTTTTCTTTTTCGGTGCGGCCCGCGCATCACGGGCTACACTTGGCGCGATTACCGCTGACCCGGACTCATGTCTCATGTGGACGCCCGCAGCCCATGTAAGTCGAATACAGTTGATTGGCTTCATCTATCCATCTACTGACGTGGACTTGAAGATATCGTATAGATGCTTGCTAACACATGAGTAATCTCTGAAGTGACTGGCTGGCGATGAGGAAGGGAAGGCCAGGCCGTGAACAGCACTGACAGCAGGCGTTCGCTAAGCTCCTATGAACATGTGATGCGAGCTATCACATCTTCATGCAGGCACATAGAGAAATGCCAAACGCTCAACATCATCCCTCGACTCTCTGTTACGATGAGTGAGGGATACTAACAGCAATGCAACAAGGCGAGAAGGCTAGGTATATACACAGCTGAGAGTGCTCTGCGCAGTTGAGTATCGAGAGGTACAGCTTGAAAAAAAGGCGGTTAGAAAAAGTGAAGATACCCAACTGCACACGCAGTAGATGCGTACTGTATAAGTAGATAGGAAGCACAAGAACAGGGTAGCTCAATCCTAGTTCATGCCGACGGAACGGAACTCATCTTTCATAACGACAGATATGTCTCGGGCTTCTACTTATTCATTACATAATTCCTTCGAAGCTTATAGGTCATGTAACCCTCGCAGACACGGCCAAGGCTGAAGCCGTCACCAATAGAATCGTCGTTAATCAGCAACATTGGAAATTGTGTGTGTCTATTGGCGTATCTCGAGCTTCACAGCATCTCTTTCTCATAGCTCAGGGTCCGCTGTTGTGACATGCACCTCGCATCTCCGGCTGAGGGATTCGGTGCCGCGAAGCCGTCGCAATCCCTTTCGGAGCAATGAAGTGGTCGGTCTTTGTGTGTGAAGGAGGGGTCTCTGATCCAGAACATGCTGATCTAGACTCTACTGGATGCGTCATGCAGCTGCCAGCCAGCCTCCTTCACCGAGACTTGTCGTATCCATCTCATCGGAGGTCTCATGTCTCGCTGTCACCAGTTGCTTTCTTATTCGTACTCAGATTCCTAGTGTCCCGAAGCATGAATTTACGTACCAATCGGCAGATGGAAGCTCAATCTAAGGGCCTTCGTACAAGATTACTACTAAGACATGGAGATGTTGTTATCCATTATAGAAAATGTATCACCTACGACCCCTCATGCTGTCGGCTAGGTACAGTTGTGTACTGACTAACCTTGTGATATGTCGTGTAGCACCAGCAGTCGGAAACCTCAAAAGACAAAGATCGGTAAACGACCGTATACCTATGGCCAGAGACATGTTCAACCGATTCATTAGCATGTCGAACAACAGGCTACTATACTAAGATTGCACATATGGCTTGGAGGTCGACATTCTCCATACGTGGAATTAATAACATAGACCTAGTTGGTGATGATACTTTGTGCGCTGTTCCACCCAGTCACTTCTCTTCCCTCAGATGCGTACAAAACAGATTCATGAATACTTTCGAGTAGGTACGTTGAAACAGATTCGATACATACCTAGGTATCTATTCAGCACGTCAGAGAAGGACAGATCTATGGCTATGTGTGGTACTACAGGATCGGGCGCCGAGGTGACTCAGGTGTCAAGGCCTCTACCGCTAGATGCGGCATCGAGATCTGCACATCGTTGCAAGTGACTCAACATGATATGTTGGTGTCTCTCTGACACACCTGAAAAGCAAGTGAGGTTCGATTCGGCAGTTCACCCCGCATTACGAGTCGCTTGAGACCGGTTGGGTTGGGACGCACGTTCAATAACAACTTGATATGAGTGGACAATGAAGCTGCCGTATACCGAAGTCTCTGGAATTGATATTGGCGTTTGTGGTGGCGAGCTGAACACCAAGTCGCTCAAATGAGGGGACGAGAAGGGGGCGGAAATCTGCTCAATGTGTATCAAGACCCATGTATATCAGTTAGATAGATGCCCAGATGGTCTGATTTTATCTTGCTTGAACCATCAGAAAGTAAAGCTTCTGATTCCCCAGAGCCAAGATGGTGAAGAACACGATGGATAGAGCGCTTCGCTCGGCCCTCAATGCTGCACAACGCGGCCTCCCCATGAGACCATTGTACGGTCACATCTTGACAGTCTTCCTCACAAAGCATGACAAAGAAACACACGACACCCTTCTCGCTCTCGTCCAGAAACTAGACGATGAGACCATCAAGAACTACCCTGACAGTACCTTTGTCGTTGGCTTCGCCCCAGCGCTCTGGAGCCGATGGACTGGCCGAGACATCCCTATCAATAACGAAGTGCTCAACCACGGCCTCCACTTCAAGGACACTGGCGGGGACTTTCTACTCTATGTCAAATCTCCTACTAAAGAGACCGCGAACAAAATCGTATCAACCATCATCGGAGACCTTCTCAAACTCGCCGATGATATCCATACTCTTGAGCTAGGCAAACGGCCAGACGGTAGAGTGATGGGAGGGCGTTATGTAGATCACAGTACGTATCGAAACCTGCCGTACAGGTTCTGAGATCTGGATTTGCTCGATGAACCTATTGTCTTCTGGAGCTAATTGCTGCCGCAGTAACTAATCCCAATGACCCTATCAGCTTAGCTGAGGATATATTGGTCGACAGTGCCGGCCCGGACAACGGGTCCAGTTTCGGCTTCACGCAGAAGTTCATTTTCGACTGGCCCGACGTCACCTCTCAGCCCGGCGAAGCCCTCAATGCCGTAATTGGGCGACGGCCAGACGGCGAGATTGTTTCCCAGCAGAAATACCTCACCGAAAATGCCCATATTAACCGCGCGCATACCCTTGATGCGAACCTCGACCAGAGGAAACTCTTGCGTCAAGCGCTGCCCTATGACGAGTCCAACGGACACGCCAGTCGTGAAGAGGGTATCATGTTCGTGGCTTTCTGCAACGAGCAGGATCGATTTGAGAAGATCTTGCAGAACATGCTAGGCGACTGCCCCGAGAAACCAGTTGATCGTCTGATGGATTTCATCAAGGGGGCGGGAGGTACATACTGGTACATCCCGTCGGCCGGCGAGCTCAAGGTCGCCGGCGTCACGCCCGGAGATGACACATACGAAGACACGCACTGGCAAGTCCGCAGCAAGAACGGCTACATGTACTACAACCACCCAGATTACATGCACCAGATGGCTGAAGGATACTACATCGCCGGTGACCAGCCAAGCGTGCGCGTTCTCAGCCTTCTGTCAAGAACATTCAACCACTGGCGAGACGGGTGGATGAAGAACGAGAACTTCCCCCGCCTGCCACACCTAAAAGATCTTCTGCAAATCGTCAACAAGGAGGCGATCCCAGAGTCGATTCTCGAGCGTAAAGGTCTAGCCAACTTCGCAACCCTCGCCCATATTCTATCTTCTCCGAACTCCAAGATCGCTAAGCTCACCGGCTTGGTTCGCATTACGCCTAAGGAGCTCGTGGTAGGCGCACTCCCAGACTTCACGCTGGGCAGAGGAAAAGAGGTCGTCACATACCTAGATGACGACGAGATCATGGCCGCATGGCTGAAGTGTTCTCTCGATGAGAGCGGCGCCATGGGCCACATCGTCCCTAACTTCCAGACGATAGTCGACCAGGGTCTCGGCGCGATGATCGACAATTTCGACAAACTCGCGCAGCAGGCACCGCCTGGCTCCGAGAAGGCGTCGTTCTTCATCTCCGCTAGCGACTCGTTCAAGGGCATGCAAGCCTACATGGAGAACTGGGCGGATATAGCCAACAACGCGCTCAGGGAGGTGACAAGCTCGGACGACAGAGACAATATGGAAGAAGTCAAGGACCGTTTCCAGCGTCTCGTGACCGAACGGCCACAGACGTTCCACGACGCCGTCCAACTCATATTCTCCGCTCACTGCTGTCTGCATCTCGTGGGCGAGTTAACCGCCTTCGGCCGACTCGACCAGATCCTCTGGCCGTTCCTCAAAGACGATCTCGAGCAGAAGCGCATCACTCTCGACCGCGCCCAAGATATCGTAGACTGTCTCTGGATCAAGATCGGGGAACACGCCTTCGTCAACCGCGCTTTCATCTACGACTACAGAGGCTACGGCACCGGCTCCGTCAACGGATTCGGCTCCAACTTCCATCAAGGCGGCGGCATCAACCAATGGGTGCAACAGGTGACCGTCGGCGGCTACAAGGCCACGGACGCCGACGTGCCAGAGGGCGGCGCCAACCCCGTCACACTGCTATGTCTGCGTTCCGCACGCCGTATCCCCGTCAACGCACCGAGTCTCTCGCTGCGCACGTACGAGGGCATTCCCCAAGAGTACATCGACGAAGCCGCTATGGCGATCTTATCCGGCGGCGCCCAGCCCACGCTATACAACGACGACAAGCTATGCGAGGGACTCTTCCGCGCCGGCAAGACGGTCACGCGAGCCTGGTCCCGCGACTACGCGGCCGACGGATGCTACGAGCCGATGTTCACGGGAGCATCCGAGTTCACACTAGCCAACGTCGAGCTCCTGGCAGCGCTAGAGCAGACCATCAATCAGGGCGCGACGTACGGCGCCGCGGGATCGGTGCATCTCCGCGGTCTGAAGACGACGTTCCGCTCGCCTCCCGTGGAGGAGATCGCTTCATTCGATGACCTGAAGGGGATCTTCCTGAAACAACTCCAGTGGCTGATTATCAAGACATACAACCTCTTCCTCACCGGGTATGGGAACTGGGTGGGCATATGCCCCTCGCCTCTGCTGTCGGGGCTGATCGATGGCTGTGTCGAGTCGGGACTCGACTTGACTGCTGGCGGAGCCAAGTTTCACCTCAGTATGTACTTCCTACACCCCTTCAGAAGCTCTATTCGTTTTCTTTTCCCTGAGAGATTCAAAAATCCATCAAGTATCATGTATAAGCAAGCTGACATCTCCCAGTGGGACCAATGTTCATCGGCGTAGCCAACACAATCGACTCTCTCTACGCGATCAAAAAGCTCTGCTACGACCGCGAGTCCGCGCGCGTCACGCTCCCGGAGCTCCTAACCTGTCTGATCTGCGACTGGGGCTACAACATGATCGAGCCGTACCAAGACGCGTCCCTCGGCCCGGCCAACGCCGCCGCAAACGCAGTGCGGTACCAGGAGCTGCGGAAAGTCGCTCTCGCGCTCCCGAAGTGGGCGAGCGGCGACCGGAGCGAGGATCTCGACATGCTCGGCCAATGGGTGATTTCGAGCATGACGCAGATGTGCGTGGATACCTTGGACGAGCCCTCGCCCGCCATCAAACCCCTCCTCGATTCCATCTACGCGAAGCACGGCCCGGACTTCGAATTCATAGTGACGCCCGGCGTGGGCACGTTCGAAGGGTACGTGGGCGAGGGGATTTCCTTCGGGGCATCCGCAGACGGGCGTAGGAGCGGCATGCCCATCGCTTCCGACATGTCTCCCGTCCCAGGCCCGCAGGACCTCCCCGCGGCCCCAGCCCACCGCGACATCTACGCCGCGATGGAGAGCTACAAGAACCCGGCCGTGGAGATCGGGATATCTAACGCCGCGCCGGTGGACATGAACATCCCCGAAGACTTCCCGCTCGACCGTCTGAAGCAGTTCATCCGGGACTTCTCGGACGGCAACGTCGGCGGGAATATGGTGACGCTGACGTGCGCCGACCTGGACACGTACCAGCGGGCCTCGGAGGATCCCGAGAAGTACAATCTCCTGCGTGTCCGTATGGGCGGGTGGTCCGAGTTCTACCCTACCATGTTCCCGGAGTACCAGGAGCAGCAGCAGCGGAGACAATACTTCACACACGCGGCGTAGTCGGCATCGGAAAAAAAAACATTCGATCTGTCTTTCCTTGTCCCGTCTCGTTGGAAGAAGTTATCCGTGTTCGACAGTGCCGGCGAGATATCCGTATATCTGTAGCACGGCATCTATATGGCTCTGCTCTGGATTTGCCATGAATCTTGCCACGTAATGCGCCATTGCTGGCACTATATGTCTATCTGTCTGTCTGTCTATCTAACCATCCGATAAAATGGACTCACGGTGAAGTTGGATAAGTAGTCCTCATGTTATAGTCAGAGGCTCTCACTTCAGGTTATAGGAAAACCAAATGTCAATGCCAAGGTTTTTTTTAGCGCTTATATAGTACTATGTACAAGCAGTTTGGTATGACATAATAATCTTGCGTAAGCTTAACCATGTTCATTCTGATAGTACAGATACGCTTGCGGCGTTGATTTCCCGATCAGCCATTACGCAGGCCAATTATCGAACTGGTAAATGTGTTCTATACGTAGCATCCATTACATTCACACTGAGATGATTACGCAATGACTGTTATGCCAGTAGGTGCATTTCACTCGACAGAGTAGTATCGAAGTACGCAGGTAGCCCATGGGTCGCCAGGTAAATGACCAATCATCCCTCACAGCAACTTTTCGGCTACCAGTTTGCGTCAGTGCGGTAGTTGTAATTGTTGATTAAGTCATACACTAAGCGTCGCGATTGGACTATGAGTACATGCCAGTGCTTCGTGGCAGAACTTCGAACCCCGCTTCCGAGTGAGCGCTATGTCTCATGCAATTGATACCATCTGCAGAATCTATCACATTACGCTGCACGCATATGAGGGAAGAGTTGAAGTGGCGTTGGCGCGCAAGGTATCAAGTGGTGTGTCAGATTCGGTTGAAGGTTGTCAGAAAGCGCCTATTCGGCACCCTTCTTCTTCTTCTTGCCACCGCCGACGTTGCTCGTCTCGGGGGTAGCTGATAGATGGATGAGGAGGGTGCCCCATTCCTTTTCCCTTGTGCGATCTCTGTCCTCTTCCTTTAACTTTGACATCTCATCCTCCCAGCTAGGATGTGCCGGTGGCCACTCAAAGCCCTTCAGGTACGGCTCGGTGAGCTCATCGTCGGCCTGGGCAGTCATACATTAGTCTAATGGATAGGGATAGGAGATAGAATACTTGGCAATGCTCCAGGTGAGTGCTGATATGCTTCAACATACCTTCTTCTTCTGTGTCTTGTAGATTGCATCGAATGCATCTTTGATCGTGACTCCGAATTTATTCCGCGCCGTCACCGTAGTACCAAGTGAGAATTGTAGGTCGATTACTCTTACCAAGGGCGTGACCAGCGGCTTGGTGAGAATATCCTTGTCGTCAACCGAGCTGGCTGAAGTGTTGATTTTCCTGAGCATCATTATAAGCATACCGTGTAGCAGGACTTCGAGGTGCACTCTTACCAGCCAGATTTCTGTGTTTCTATTGAGACCTTAAGCGGCGTCTTGGTGTTGTCTACTGGTTGTCAGTTTCATTATTGCCAAGAGACACGGGCGCGGTTGAGGCTTACACATTTCCTTCACGCTTGGTACCCCGGGAACACTTGAACTCTTCCTATGAGACTTCTCCTTGGGTGGTGAGGATGAGAGGCCTTGTACGGCACTATCGACCTTGGACAAAGGTTCGGCCATGGTGGATTAGGCGTGGTCTTGAATGTGAAATTCAGCTAGTCAGGAAGGTATATGCTCTCAATCCAGCTGTGGGCGCCGTTAGCGAATGGATCGCAAGTAGAAAGAATGTGGAAGCTGAGGAGGAAGTATAGCTACCTTCGATAGAGCTGGGAGTTGAGGGATATGGCGGGTTGAGGTTGGATATCAATTCACTGTTGCTGATGACGAAGCTGCTGCTCGCTGTGGCGTATCGCAGATTGGCGAGAAGCTATGTGATGTAGACGAAGGTTTGCGGGATAGAATGCAAGGTCAAAGAGGAGGAAGCCTTGGAGAGCCGGGAGAAAGAGAAGAAGAGGGTAAAAGGAGGGGAAGACGGGAGAGTAATAAAAGGGCGTTTTGGAAGGAGGGGTTCCCGGTGCAATGCTACTGCTACGTAAGTAAGTAGGTAGGTAGGGAAGGGAAGGGAAGGTAGGGGACACAGGCAGTTGCCCGGCTAGAGACAAAGTATCAGAGTGACAGGGCAGATACTTGCGAGGGAAGTATACGGTCAGGTCTGGCAAGAGCACGCGTTGTCGGAGGCTGGTACAAGAGAAGCAGGTACACGGGCTGGTAAATGCAGATGTATCAAACAGCAGACAAGTCACAGTAGACAGGTCAGACAGGTCACGGCAGGGTCGAGTTACCTAGGTCAGGTACATAGAGTACATCATACTACCTATGTACATACACATGTATATAGTTGTTTCGCAAAGCAGGTATGAAAGGTGTCTGAAAGGTCCCGCCTAGACCGGGGGGGATGAGATGAGGAACGAGGGGTCAGAGCTGCTGTAGGTAGGTGTACATACGAAGTACTGCATACCAGATACATACGTACATATCTACCTAATGGTAAGTATAACAGCCAAAAAGGACGATCGACGACCAGCTGATACACATGGCCTCTGACAACCTTGAAGTATTACCCAGCATGGTATGATGGCGGGGTTTCCAGACAATTAGACGCAGTGCCACAGCACACTAATACTTACCTGACCATTTCAACTGCTTTTACTCCGTAGCTGATAGTGCATTTAGTAGCTCTATGAATTGATAAAGTCACAAATGCAAGGCATCACGGTGGCAGAACTGTGGTATGATACAAACGTAGTACATGTCGACTTATCGGCGGCATCGCGTGACCTCAGGCCTTGATGTTCAGATGCCCCGTGCTGGCGTGATTTCGACGGGCAGAACGTGCAGAACGGGGCACATCTCGCTGGTCTCCGGCAGCAGCTCTCCACTATCGCGCCGCCGAGAACGTATCATTCTGCATGACCTGATGCCCGATCAAGCTTAGCTCCGTGTGATTATTGGCCTGATGGGAGCTCTGATGGGACAATTGACACTGACGGAGACCTACTGCGGATCCCGCTAGTGTACAGTGCCTGCTGGAAAACCTGGGGTAAATCTGGGGCGAGACGGGCAGGACGGGGCTTTATTCTCAGAGGACCTTCCAGGCCAACCTTCCACTACCCGTAGACCAGTGCAGAACCAGTGCGAAGCCGCTGCTCCAGCCTCTCTCTCTCGCGTCTCTCTGTCCATGTGCTTCTCCTCCTCATCCTAACTCCTCATTCAACAGGGATCCAACTCTCTCGACAAGAGCCTATGACGTTTGAGCCTGGCAGACCCCTCATTACAGAGTACCAAGTAGGCGCAGATCTACTTCGCACGGCCGGGGGGGGGGGGGGGGGGGGGGGGGGGGGGGGGGGGGGGCGGCGGCGGGGGGGGGGGGGGGGGGGGGGGGGGGGTGGGGGGGGCGGGGGGGGGGGGGGGGGGGGGGGGGGGGGGGGGGGGGGGGGGGGGGC